GTGTCATCAGCAAACTTGCTGAGGGTACACTCTAACTCTTAATAAATGTTATTAGAAAGTCCTTTTATTTTTTTCATTTTTTTTTAAATCTATACAGAACAGTCCCCAAATAGGGTACGGACGAGTAAAACTACAGGTTTTAACCACAAATCTCACTTTCAGTCCTATCTTCTCAAAATTAGCTGTTGAAAAGTAAAAATCATGTGACTAGATTATTCCAAGCATACAGTGGCATGCACAGAACAATGCAATAACACTTCTTCAAGAGTTTGGTCAGTTAGAGATTTAGCCTCTTACAGGATTTTAGGCATCTATCAGCCAACACAAATATCAATTAGAAGACGAGGCACTTGGAGGCATTAATACAGGTTTTAAACCTAGTGAAGACACTGGCTTATGAATTGACAGACACAAATTTTATGGTTCTCCAGTTTCCCACAGTTATGGTACGTTAATAATTAGTGTAATAAACACAGAAAAAAGAAAGCAACATCCACAAAAAGTATACAAGATTATGGATATCACCACAGGCATTCCACAAAACAAAAGACATTGTACATATGTAACATGACTGAACTGCGGGCGGCTGCTGTAGGACTGCAATTCCGAACTTTCTGAATCATGTTATCCTAAAATCCCAGCTAAAATAAAAATAAGAATTTCTGCTACGTGGCTATACTTGGTGGAAAACTAGACAGTTTCTTCACTAAAACAGGTCCTGATGAGTGACTGGAAAAGCGTTTCACAAATAAGGTAGCTATGATGGCTAAAATTCAGTCTGGTTTACTCAGAGTGTGTCTCATCAAAACATTTTTTTAAAAAGTTATTAAACTATGAAAAGAAAGTCAGATTCATACATACTAATGGTCAGTGGTGTTGGAAAAAGATGTTCACGGACAGAGTTTGTTCGGCTAATATGCATTACATGCTAACTCTTGCTCACAATGGGAAAGAAATAAAACAAGAAAACATTGAGAAGATAATTCAGAAAACAGTAACATTTTGAACAGCAGTAGCTGATAAGAATGCTATAATATATATTATCAGTAGGATTTAGAAAATCTCCTCCTCCTAAAAGATAAAGCATAAATGTTCACTCAAAAACACACAAAGAAATAGAACAACAACAGGTTGCATATTCACCACACTAAGCAAGCAATGATCATCTCAGGTGACATTCCAAATTAAGAGCATCAAATGTAGGGTATAAATTACGAATTTGAATTATAACTTCAAATTTTGAATCAATGGCAGAGCCAGAATGTGTAAATATCACAGAACATAGAATAAAGTTCTATGTAACAGAACCTCCAATTACAGAAAACAACATAATTAACTAAAAAAACAAGAAGAAAAATGATGTGGGAGAAAGTCCATTGGGACCTGGAGCTTGGCTAGATCTAAGGACTTCTGGCAGATCTGCGTTTTCTTTGCTATTTCAAATAAATGGCAGCGCTTAAGAAAGAACACTACCAATTAAAACTGAGGATAATGTTAACTATAACTACAGCTAGAAGACAATAAATAATCATGCTTGCTTATTTAGGATATCTGGGGAAGAAAATGACCATAATCTTCTAAGCTATAAGTGGATGAACTCCTCAGGGCAAAAAAATACAGGTATGAGTACTATAGCTTACCAGGGAAATCCCCTTTGCGGCTGCTTTGGCCAAACTCCTGAAGCTGTGCTTGTTGATTTATCTGCTCCTTCTGCAAATTTTCATACCAATGGGTGACTTCTGCCCGTAGATCGGCCACCTGATCACTCGGGTACATTTCTATAGTCATCTGAAATAAAAACATGTATTTTATTTTCCAAAGTGAACAGTGGACTTACAGAATTTTAACAATGTTGGATGTACTTGTAAAAGGGCTTTTAACTTACCTTGTCAGGAAGTCCAGCTGGCTGACATACAATTCTTAGTGGTAGTGACTGTTTGTCACTCAGGGCTTTCAAGTGACTGCTGATACCAGTGCCTTCAATCTGCCACTGTCTCAGATGATATGCAAACCTTAAGAAGCAGGTAAAAAAACAGAAAAAGTATTTTTGTCAAAATGTATTTAACACCTTCGATAAACAATGAGTGGAAAGACAAAACTTGCACCTTCATTCACTGGTTTTTAAACATAAGAGGAAGTTAGTGAAATTCTCACTATTTTTCAAACAAAACTAAAATAACTTCTAAAAAGTTACTTTGGTGAGGGATGGGGAAACACGAACCACATCCATACTTTATACAAGGAGAAGGGCTGACTCTTCCAACTGTTTATACTTTATATACTAACTTTCAAAATTATCCACAACTGTCCTTACTTTACACAAAGGAAAAGAAAGACAGCATTACTTAAATGAGTAATAACAACTCCTAACTCATTCATCATTATGGTAACAGAAATGTAAACAAATTCTGCATCCAAATATCTCAATGGAGCTACTTACCTTCTCCTAAAAGCCTCCAAGTGTGTCTTCAGCATTAAGAGTCCTCTTTCAATAATGATCAGACTTGAATGAGAGTCTTGCTCAAGGTTACTAGAAGCTATCATCAGACTCTCCATACACTTGCTAATAAATTCCTGTTCTTTCTCAAGACCAGTTTTACCTGTAATATCAGTTAAAGTAAATTATACATGCACAACTTTGGGACCATGCATTTTAATACTAAGAATAAAAAGAGGATAACACTAGCTATTCTTTAAAACACTTTAAACAGAAAACAAAAATAAAAATTCATACCATTGATATAATAAGAGTTGATATACTGGATAGCCGCTCGACTGACGTCACCAGACTGCGCTCTTAAAGCAATACCCCAGAATTGGTCCATGCCACACAACTGTTTTGACAGAAGGAAACAGTAACAAAACATTGCCTCATTATTATACTGCGAGTGATGCTTTTCTGACCTGAGACCTTTTATTTGCCTTTTGATGCATCTACTAAAAATATCTCCGGTTTTCCTCTGCTTGGGCTCTCACCACTGCACACATCAATTACTATAAAATTCTAACTTCCACAGAAATATTTCCATACTTCGAAGCATGAGGAGAACCAGTTAAAATTTAAAAGAGTGAATTTTTAATTTTGACCAATAGAAATACTTTTAAATGAAGCGTTAAAACCACAACTATAATTGGTATTCATTGCAAGGATACACATTTTAATTAAAAATTGCCTTAAGTCAATTCACAGAAAAATATCCTATATATAATTTTATTTCTAAGACAGTGTTTCTGTATAAAACACTACAGAAGAAAAGCTTCTAAAGCACATCACATGTAAACTGAGACACATTTTACAACAGATTTCTAGTCAGAATTAAATATGCCTAAGAGAATGACACCTGAATCTTCTTATTTACAAAAGTAAATGTTACAAACCCATTCTTTAAACATAATAGTGAACACATTTCAGTTATGCTAAGAATATGATAAACTGCACAAAGGTATACAGGCAACAGGTCACACTTTCTTTGTGGTTTCTTGTCTCTGCCTCTAGAGACAAAAGTAACACACGCTCAAAGTCATGAGGGAAGGTCAGAATCATTGGCCTCTTTTATTTCCATTTCATGGTCCTACATTTGGAACTTTTGAGTCTGGAGCTCCCAGCGCTCTCCTCAAGGTAGAAATCTGTACAAACCCCACCACTACGGGCTGTGACATTACTATCTCATACCAGCAAACAATATTCAAGCCAGTAAGTTCTCAAGACATATGCCATTGCAGATAATTTAACTTTCCCCTTCCCCAGAAAGAAGAAAAACACAAGCACAGAATCTAGGCTTACCTCTGAGTTTGAGCCACCATCATATGCACTAGTAGCCAATCGAGCCAAATTACACAAATGCTGGAAGAGGTTTAGGCCAGTCATAGTAATAGTTTCAGGTTTCAGTTGTGGCATCTAAATAAAATAAATGCACTTTAGTATGGCAAAAAAACCCCACAATACAGTGATGGAATGGATAGCAGTTACAGGATATTTATTTCATTAGCACAGAAAAATGTCATTGTTACTACCAATCTTCTTCAAATTTAGTAAAGCATTTAAAATTTATTCTTACAAAAGATCACACTGAACTCTATATACAATACAAACATCAACTATAACTGGCTTAAACAAACCTCTTTACCACTGATACGGACCGTAACAGTGCAGAGGGAACAAAAATTATTATTGTAACATTTGCCACTTATCAAAAGCAGGAGAACTTGCTAGCATACTCAAAAAGCTCATATGCTTACAAAACTAGACAAAAAAAAGTATAACCTTGAAAAATAACTAGACTACATTAATTATTGCACAATCTATGCATTTTGTAATGTCATCTCTTGAAATGGATGGGATCCCTTGCAAAAAGCGCTGCTGCTACATGTTCACATTTTCAGTGGATGTATTGATGAGATTTATACGCCCCTCCCAAAAAGAACAAAAGTAATCTTTTTTCAGTTAGGTAAGCATAAAGAAAAGTATAGTTTTGGGAGGCTTTTTTTTTCAAATTGAAATGAAGTGCTACATAGCTTCAGATACAACACACAGGCTATTTGCAAAGAAACATTCAACTAAACACCGATGTGAAAAGAATTCAAGCCAATCCATTTCCCTCTTCCCTCCAAGCAGAGAAAAATAATTGCATGACAAGTGGGGTGCCCTCAGACTACTGAAAACATATTTTACATACAAACAATTTAAAGTATGTTAAATAGTAGTGTTTCTTTCCATGTCAGCACTATTAGAATTAATAAGGTTGCAATTAACTCTATACGTACCTTTTCCAAAAAAAGATGCTTGTAAGTCTCCATACCCATAGCATGCTGATCTTTACTTCGTACTTGATTTAAAAACCAGTGTAGTGCATCGTCGTAACATTCAGAATCTTCTACTAAGCAGTGCCACAATATGTCCACTTGTTCTAAACTCAACCCTAAAATTAGGAAAGTATTTTTAACTACTGCTTTCTAATATCAAATATATTGCAATATTCTACAAAACCCAGGAATACATACAGAAAAATTAGAACAGATTTCTTGTCAGGATAAGAAGTTTTCAGAAACAACAGAAGAAAAATGCATCACCTACCAATTAGGAATCATACACTTTTCCCCTTTTACAGCTGGATATCAGTTTTTGGTCATTAGTGCTATCAATCATTACCAACCCACTGAGCATGTGGGGTGATCTGAGATCTTGTACCAAACACTAGGTTGTTTCTCAGTTCATAAATAATTATTGGGCACAACCTAGAGTCCAACTCTGGGTATTGAGACTGTGGCTAAAAATAGTCTCTCTGTAACTATCTCATCATTACTCCTTTCAAGAAAGTTGCAGGTTTATTTTCTTAACTGGCATATAAACATTTGTGATCCCAACAAATTTCTTTAAAAGGAATTGTGGCTCTCCTATCAACAATAGCAAAGATGGTGTTACATTTTTTTTTCTCTCTCAGCTACAGATATTCTCATTCCTTCCTGTACTGTACTCTAACAACCAGAGGGACCAGCCATGCATTGTATGGCACGTTTGACTACCTATAATAAGACAACCCAAATGACTCCTCCCTTCAGTCATTTTAATAAATGACCTCAATATGCAATCAACTGAAAGTCTGTACAGAGCTGATGCTGAGACAATACTGAAGGCTATTAGTTTACAAGGGCTTAAGAAGAGAGCCACCAAAACAACTTATGGAAGGGAAAGCCACCAAAGGTTACTAAAACCATAGAAAATATGTTCAAATTGCATCAGCCACATCAAAAGATTTCTCTTTTTAACCTTCTGGAGCGAAAAGATTTCAGCATCTGTACAGATCAGCTATCATACAGAATACCACTTTCGCAAAAGACCCTACAGGGAGCGCAAACCAATTTCTAACAGTATTAAAATATAAAGAATTACTCCTTTTTGATATCACAACTTACAGTGCACTCCAGTAAAAGATCTCTGGGAACATTATGGACGTCAACCAAACTCCGCAAATACAGAATGTATTATCTTCATTTCAGTAATTACTACAATGCTAATATTTAGAAAAACTGAAGCACAGAGAACATAAAAATTTGTTCTCACAGAACTCCAACAGAATCTAAACTCCAATGTTGGTTCCATGCTTTTGTCAAAAAGTCTTCCTTCTTTTGAAACAGTATCAGAGATTATTTAAAATTGTATATGTTTAAAATATTATATTTATTTAAGCTAACATTCATTATTAACACCTATGTAAGCCTTACTATGAGGAGTTTCTCTGATAAGGTAACCTCAAAAACTTACTGAAATGATCTGGTGATCCTAGAGTGGAAAACACACATGTCAGGAATTGAAGACGAACCTGAACTTCTGCACTGTGGCTGTATCTAAAATTTAAAATTGTATAAAAATGGAAGTTTATTTAATTGTTTATTTTTATAAATTTTTCCCCACTCACACACATGCCTCTCAAAAGCATAAATAATTTTTTCTTACAAGTTTCTTTCTGAACTTCTAATTCAGTACATAGTCTACACTCCAGTTGTACACATTAAAGAACCACACCAAACAAGTGGAAAAACACACTAAATAAGGTACTTTTTCGGTTGTTGGGGGTCGGGGGGTGTGTGTGGGGGTGGGTGCGTGTGTGTGAGAGAGAGGGACAGAGGGGGGTCTTTCTGATATACACTTGCATCATTTTGTCACCAGCACCTTGCAGATTCTAACTTTGATTTTTTTCCCTAACTTGTAAAATGCTACTATTTCTACTCTGAACGCCTGATCCCAGCTGACATATACTCTTTATAAAAATATTTTAACAAATTATATAAAAATATTAACTTTATTTCTATTTACAAGGTAGAAGCTTGTAAATAGTCAAAGAACCAGAATAACATATTGTTTTGCCTGAATTTAAAGCAATTCATCCCACTTCCAAACAGCTTTTGAAGTAATTTCTCACTAGAGCAATATGCAATACAAAGGTGTATGAGGAAGTAAATATTTTACCCATAAACGGTAACATTTTTCAATTCTGAATGCCCATTATTTACACAGTGACTTTGACATCTGTCAAAAAACGAACAGACTATTCCTCCGAGATTGGGAATTTAGAAATTGATCACTTGTGTATATACACCTAGTTTTAATCATACAGATTGGAAAGTGCAGATGAATGTGTTAAACAGAAAAAACTACTGCAAAGGTTAATGATAAGTTTTTAAACTGAAACATTTGAGTAGTTTTATGACATGAAATAACTTTAAATGGATTTAAATATGTAAAACTTTGTTTTATTTGCAAACAAATATTTAGCATAATGTCTAATAAAAATTACACAGAGGTTGTTGTGTGGGTTTTTTTAAGGAAAAGGAAGCTATTTTAAATGATATGTTTATAGACCTTTGTCTGTAAAGCATGTCATGTCCCTGTAGAAAGTATTTACTTAAAACAACACATCAGAAGCACCAGAAATATCAAAAACCCAGTCAGTTGCATACTTACAATGCATGTTTATGTTGTCCTTCCCTGACCGCCTGAATGTAGTGTACCAAATTATCAAAGAAAAGTTTCATCATATTAAGTTCCTTTTCTGCCCACCTGTGTCAATTTAAAGGGCAGAAAGTATTACGGTATTACCAGAAAAGCTACAGAAATTAGAACGCTAAAATAGAAAAATTGCATACACATAAAACCAAAGTAAACATTCAACTTTCCATCTACCATGAGTTCAAGAGTATTTTCCAGTACTCTCTTCTTCCTTGTCACCCATAAGGCTTCACAATGTCATTATTCTCAGGCATAGGACTGACATAACACTCCCTTTGAGACCACAAAAACTGTTCCTAAAGGCCCCAATTCAGAAAAAGTCTAAGCCAAAACTCAGAACCAGGCATGTATTTAAATGTGATGTCAAAAAGGCCAAGAAAAATTGGTGATAATCATTGTAATCTTTCCCAGAAGTTCCAGTAGTCTGTTCTCTATAGTTAGACCAGCTAGTTATATAGTTTGATCTAGAGTAAGGAATGCTTTACTACATATCTTCACATTTCAAAGACTTTCTTATAAACCAAATACTGAGAAGCATTTGATATACAATCAGAACAGAATGATGGACCATCGCGTTATTACAGCCTTTTATAATATACTATTAGTGGATGTCTAGTATTGTCTTCAAGTCCTTTGGGATTTTAAGGAGGGATTTAAAAAAATATAAATTAGTCTTCAGTTACGATAATAATGCATATTATGAAGAAATCTAGGCCTGAGTGATTAGACAAGCTCATACGACTAGGCCAGACAACAGACAGATGATAACCTTAGGTCATTATTAATTTGGACCACACTAAAGGAGAAAGCCTTGCAGCAGTCCCCCAGATGTCATCGCTTCTGTTGGTTTAGTCTGTTGGGGACAGGGGGCTACTTACATTGTTATCCAATGTGTATCATAACTGCTCCCAAACTGTTGAAACGTACCAAACAGCTTTGGAAGAAGACGAAGTGAAACTACTACTGATCTAAAGGAGAAAGAGAGAAACGATGACAATACGTGATTGTTACAAAATTAAAATACTCAATTATAAAATTACTTTGAGAAGTTCAGGTTTGGTGAGCAAATAGGTTAACTGAAAGCACTGGAAAAAAACACGTGAAGTTTACCATCACATCAGCCAATTAGCTTTCTGAATCTGAACTACATGTACTTCAAATTCTTTACTTGTAATACCTTGGACACACAGCTATTGGACAAGTATAAAATTAAAACAGTATACATTTTTATTATTAAAAATATTTACATTCCAGAAGATAAATTCTTGGTTTTGACTTTCATAATACTTCTCTTTTGAAATTTCAGCAAAATTAGTATGATTTTCCTACAAACATACGACATAGCAGAAAAATCTGCCTCAAACTCCTTATAGACACACGTATTGTAAGACAACTGTCTAGGAAAACTCAAGAAGTGCATAAACTGCACATAACTGAACTTTCATATCAGTGGTAAGTATCTTCACATTTATTTTATTAATTAGTATCTCAGTATACTTGTAACTCATCTCACAAATACAGTTCTTAGCAAAAAGGTAACAACGTAACACTGCCAGTGATGTCTAGCAGTTCATTGGTTCTATCAACAAAATAAATCCCACTTTTGCCAGTCTTCAAACTGCACAATCTCACAGCTTTGGCTGGTATTAAAACAAGTTATCGAGGTCAAGGTATTACTTCTAGCTCCAGCTGCTTCTTCACAGTAATTAAACACCACAACACACCTGGTGGAAAAGAACTTGTCTGTTCCTCAGCCACTTGCACGTAAAATCTAAATATACAATTCAAAATGCTCATGCTAAGGCACCTGACCTTACACTCAACTGGCTAAGATCTGGACCCGATAGTACCAACTGGTAGGAAGGCAGTAACCTCTGGCAGAAGGAAGAATAGACAAATGCAACAAGATGAGAAATTCAGGACACTGACAGAATAGAAAAATGGAACATCAAATACATCCATAACACTTTGAAAACTATTTTTTTACTTTTGCTTTTGCCTGGTTTAACTTGTCTTCCTGTAAAGCTAAATAACTGTTACAGTCAAGTTGGATTTCCTATATGTTGCAAAAATAGATAACTGTAAAAACAGATAATTTATTATTTAAGTTACCTGTTGTTTGCTAAATTTTCTAAGCAGCCTTCAATAAATCTCATTCGAATCTGTCTGTCAGTGAACCAGCATACTAAAGAACAGAGCAGCTTCTCTGCTTCATTTATTAACCCTTCAGAGAGATGAATCTACAGCAAGTAGAAAGAAAGGTCACTGAATAGTATATACTTATTTTCTTTTAAAAAATACCATTTTCTGGTATTCAACTTACTGCATCTTCATCCTGGACCAGATCCCACAAAAGAGTATTTCCCTTCTTACAAACATTATCCAAATTAATGTCCGTCACTGCACTGCTATTATATTGGTGTTTATGAACTGCTGGTCCTGAACAAAATATAAAGATTGTTAATGAATAAATAGAAGGAACTATCTAATCTGAGTATTATTCCTTACGTGCATGAACAACATGCTTTATTTGTAAACTTGGCTACTTTAAAGTGCATACAACAACATTGTAACTGCAGCCTTTTTCCACATACAGTTCTTAAAATAAGAGAAAACATTATGATCATACAAGAAGTCACCAGGACAGTTAAGCAAATATTTACACTGTTTTTGCCTAATGGCAAAGTGCAATAAAAATTTTACTTAAGAACTGCAGATGCAAGTGCAATTGCTTTTAATTTAATTAGATTTAATTCATAGTGTAATTAAAATATTTCCTAAGTCTTTCTGTAGTGCTGTGGTCTGAAAGGAAGTATCTTTATAACTACCATGGCTGGAAAGCAAGAAAGAAGCACAGTTCAATAAATTCCCCTTATACTGCATGATCTCCTATATCTAACTAAAAAACAGGAAAAACAAACACCATTTTTACATATGACAGGGTATCAAAGCGCATGACTAGAAACTCATCGTATTTTCATAAACACTGACGGACATTTTCCTTCTTCAATATGGCCACAGCTGGCACCATTCATTCATCTATTATTTGACACTATTTGCATGTAGCAGCAAAGTGAAGCAGAAAATTTAGATTGCATGCAGAACACTGTAATTATTTGTACATGCAAAACTAGGGGTGTCAAAAATAATCCGCACTTAAGGCCTCATGTTCAAACAATAATTTGGATCTTTAGTAAGATGTGTAATATTTGTGGACAATACTGAAGAAATATGCTGATTTACAGCATGTTTTAACTACAAAGTTTTAGTAGTTTATTAAACTCTGTAGTGTAGAAAAAAATCCTTAAAATTTTCATTGTCAGGCTGAATTTATAATTCAATTCCACATAACATGAAATGTTAAGCGTAAAAAAAGAAGAAACTTCTTATTCAACTCTGCTTCAGGAAAAGATACAAATAGTACTAGTTCTACTGTGGGCTGGAAGATAGCAGACTTGGTTCTGCCAGACCAGTGAACAAAAATGTCCAACCTTCACTAACCATACCCCCTATTACATTTAAAAAAAGGATAAAACAAAAAATACAGCTACCACAATAGCATATGGAAAGACCATATAATTCTTGAGAAGTGTTTTAGCAGCATCTTAAATTGCACCCTGAAGTAAACTAGTGCACGATGAAAGAGCATAAAATGCCCTAACATATTAAGTTATATTTTAACTCATTTTTCCAACATTATCCTCTGTACAGCCCATTATCGTTAATTAATTTAAGATGACACATGTACGGAATCGCAGTAAGATCCACTAACCAGAAGAGAAACCGCTTAAGGTTTCAGACAGAAAAAAAATCTCGCATTTCAGTTACCATCTTTCTTTTTACTTTAATAACTGGTTAGAAAAAGAATATTTGCTAGGCTTTTCAGCACCTTTATTTGTTTTAACTTGCATTAAAAGCTCCAGTAGAAATAGGGGGGGGAAATTTAAAAATGTAAACGTAGCTACATCTAATATAATACAAAAATGAATCCCTCGGAGAAACAGTAAAATCTCAGTAGCCACTGTGGTCTCTTAGGGCAAATACACATGTATGGTTAAAATAATTTGATTATTTTAACTATTAGTGACTAATTCAAAATTATATAAAACTGAGTTAGAAGTACAATGTTTTTCTGTTTTCTTTTTATCACTCTTACCTTGACTAAGATGTTCATGATAGATAGAGGCAAGGTTAGGAAGGTGCTGCTGAAGATGAGAGGTTAGCTCAGCATGTGAATTAATCTGTACAAGCTCTTCTTCACAGCCAGACTCTTCCCCATCAAAATCAGCCATATTTTTCTCTGATTTTGCACTGACTTGGGAACTACTGCAACTGACATCATCTGCACTTAGCATATCATCAACCATATGCCTGTAAAAGAAGAATATTAAAATGGACAATAGCGAAGAGAAAGTTGTTTACAGCAGACTACAAGTAAGTAGACATCTCCCTAAAGGTAAAGTCAGAATGAATCATCTGTCTGAAGAGCAGATCTTCACACGAATTTGAAAAACAAGAAGGTCTCACTATCATGATGACTGTGTTGACTTATTTAACTAAATATAGCATTTTCCAAAACAATTTTAACATTTTGTTAAATGTTGTCATATTTATTTAATACAAAAACTTTACAAAAAACTTTAATTAGATGTTAACAAAACAGATTACTGTGCAACAATCTGCGATAACTATAATCTGTTAGACAAAATTCTCTTGAAATATAGCACGATGTCCACAGAAATTCTGCCCAAATCGAGTATTTTGCTACCACTTGTATTTCTGTTAAAGAAGGAATCAGAAGAAATGTCAAACTACCTACCCATCATGGTGATGGTGGTGGTGGTGGTGATGATGCTGTGGCCCAATGAACTGTCGACAGTTAAACAGTTCATTTCCAATAGTTTCCCGAAGGAAGTCCCCTGTGTGAGTTATACAAGGATCTTGAGACCCTTGTGAAATGTGAGCAGTGCTCATTTCCCCCGTCATATCATGCTCTGCATCCTCAGCATGAGAACAAGCATCTAGCATTCTAATTCGATTATCCACCGGTGTCACAGAGTCAGTGTTAAAAACATGGTCCTTTCCGGCCCCGTTATTTGCACCACTCCTCTCTGATGCCCCTTGTGAATCCCCCAGACAAATGCCTGTTTGTGATTCCAGCTTCCTGCTTCGTAGATCTGTGCTCCTACTGCTTTTCTGAGGATTATGACTCCTATCTTCTTCCTCTTCATCCTCCTCCTCTTTGAGAGCTTCAATATCTGCAATGTCTTCAGACTGCACCTCACTGCCAGGGCTTCCAGCAGACTGGCTTGCATGACTGGAGTTGGCCTCGTTACTGGATCCATCACTATGGCCACTGCTACTACCAGGACCACTACTGCCATCCTCACCACTGTTGGCTGTCTCATCAGAGCTTCCTTGCATGGATTCCTGAAATTATATATTTTCTTTAAGACTGGTGGAAAAATACAACACTACTGAAAATATATAACCAACATCATCACCTTTTAAACACCATTTTTCATTTATGAGGAAATGTGTCAAATCTACCAGTTTTCACTCATTCTTTCTCAATTTGGTTGTCAATGACAAAACGCTCTAAGCAAGATTCAGATTTAGTAATTTAATTTTTGCATTACCTTATTTGTAATAAGGTGTACATGTAGGCTTTGTGCATACACAGAGTGACAGTGTGACACACAAACAATATGTCATGTGCTCCCGTACTAAGAGATTAATCTTACTGAAATACAATTTAAATGCAGGAATTCATTAGTTTGAGGTGTTTTTTGTAGCGCACTTGTCAATAGGCAAGGTACTATATATTCTATGTAAACTGCATAGAACATAAGTAAAGATTCCAGCTATCCACTATCCTACTGCAGGTAAGCATACATGCTATGTACCTGTTCAGGTTTTGAAGTGATTACAGAAAAAAATTATTTGCATAGTTAATAGGCAAATCAGTAAGAAAATTCACAGACTAAGATTTACACTCCTACCTCCGTATCTGAAAGTCGCTGCTGTACATGTTTTGTTCTGTTCATAAGCTGTTCCTCCATTTCAATATCACTGCCTCCACTGTGATGGGTGTCACTGTTGTCACTACTTTGAGGGCTTGCTCCTGGTGACCCTAGTTCAAAACCACATTTCGCAGTTACTTTGTGACATATATCAAATGGAATGTAGCAGCACTATATAAATCTGCCTCAAATGCTGAACTCAACCGCATTTTTCCTGCAAACAGCTGAACAAGGGACATAACTCAAACAACCCGAGTACCTAAACACCAGAAATTCTTTTTACAACACTGAGCATTTTACTATAATATTTGTATTCTGATGTCTCGTCTTGCCGGTATATAGCACAACTATAGGAATTTCCCAGATTCTACACTAAATATAATTTAATTTTACTTCTTATAAGAACATAATTTCAAACTTTTACTAGTTTTTCCCCTATTCAAATTCAATAGCTGTAGAAAATTGCCATAGTATCAAACGTATCAGATCATGGTGTACTTCTGAAACTATACTTACAAGGTGAAGGGGCTGCTCTTCTGAGCTCCTCGTCTTCTGAAGGAAAAAAAGCAGGATGGAAAAATAAGTGACTAAAAATCTTTCTGTCAGCATACAGTCGTCCATGATTCATAAAAATCAGCAGTAAGAAAAGAAAGGGAAACTACAGTAAAATGGCTCAGCAGCTCCTTTAGTAATGACTGTGGGGAAACACACAGTCAAGTAAAAAAAAGAAAAAAAGGATATAACATGTAATATCAAAAAATTACATAAGCTTTTGTAAGATTTTTTTGTAGCTATCTAAGTTATAGATGTTCAGCAGAACATGAAGAGTTAACTGATGAGTTATGGACCATCCTCTGGATTCAAAAAAAAAAAAAAAAAAAAAAAAAAAGAAAAACACATACTACTTTAGATACATAAACAAAATTGCTGAGAAACAGAAAGCTTTCCAAACGTGCTCACAAAGTTTTAACATTTTCATCTTTATCCTCAACTTCTGCTTGAAAAATATGCGAGCATAACAATTTTAAAAAATTCTTCAAGTAAAAAGTTCTAGATATCCTTTTTGTCCCAAGTCAGTAAGAAGATTATGAAAATTAAAAACTTAACTACCAGATCTATTGGAAAACCACATACCTTTTTTGTTTCCCATGGGTAGATTGGTACTCAGTAAAGATGCAAAAGAGCTTTGTTTTGACAGCTGAGCCTTAGCTGCTAGAGCATTATTCCACAGTGCTTTTATAAGCATTGATGCCAAATACAAGGTCTATAAACAAAACCAGATAATGGCACCATTAAGCAGTAGGTTTTGTATGCAAAGATCCACTGTTAATCTTTCAATGTATCAGTACTACAGTTCACCAGAATAAACTCATCTAAATAAATGAATGCACATGTTGTGCGAAAAACTTTTTAACTTCAAATATGAAGTAAAAATTTTATATCAGTGGTTATGCAGTCTTAAAGAAATCTCTGAAAAAGATCATAATTCAAAAGCCAGAAAAGACCTACTTGAAGAAACATGACTTTATTCATACAGTTTCCTCCCTTATGCATTAAGAACAACTACTATTACTTTTACACGCATTCCTTTAGAAAGACAAAGACAAATCCATGAAGCTTGTTTAATGTACTATCATAACATCTTTTCTCCTTACAGTGATTTTGTTTGCCTTGTTTTACCTGTTCAGTGTGAGCACTTGGATGAAGAGTTGAGACTAGGTTAAGAAGATGTCTAAGTGGGACAGGGTCCAAGTTTTTGATCAAAGAAGGAAACAAGTCATGTATGTAACGACTGCAATGCTTTAGCTACAAAGCAGAAAAACACAGAGAAGATAACGGGAAAAGCAAAATAAACTTCAAAAAAAATTCAAAGATTGATAAAATTGCAGCAATTAAACAACATCTTTGCACAAATTCTCAGGAAGCACTTGTCCAATAATTCCAAACTACATCACACTTCCAATTTTGACTAAACTTAATTTTTGTTGTGTAAAGCATGTAAAGTTTAGTGAAATCAAATTTCACAGTATCTTCCTGAGTTCCAGTTCTAAGAGTTTTGGTGAAAAGAAGAACTGCAAGATTATTTTGTATTTTAATTCAAATATAACTTCTAAAATATTAGTGTATATGCTAAATCCAGTGGGAAATAATATTTGTAATGATTACCTTATTAGCAGTGGTGAATACAAATAAAGACATTACAGGCTAATATGAGAGTGAGAGAGCAGACTGTGGGAACTGTGTGAGGATTATTTATAATTCTTTTGTCTTTCCAGTAATGGATGTCAAAAAATATGACACTGTGTTTAGCTAACTACTCTATTTACACATTAAAGTAACACTTCTCCTAGATATTTCCTCTTAGGTTAAATGCTGCTTTTCATAGTCACTCAAAGGGTTTCATCACTTCTACAAGGATGTTGCAAAAATAAAATGATGGTTACAGGAAGCTTCTAGAAAAAGATTCTTAATGTTGGTTACCACATATGCACCTCAAAAGCGTTTTTTCATTCTTTATTTTAGTTTGCTTTCTTAGCATGTAAAATATCCATCTCAGCAGTTTATGGGGTACATCTTTCACAGGATTCAAACTGGAATGAAATTATATGGGTTCTACACAAAGATGCATTTAAACAGCTTGAGATACCTGCTTCAACACAGAGAAGACAAATTTTTGTAAAAAGTTAGTTTAAAAAATGGAAAACATACTCTTTAAGGCCTTCTATTCCTCTACTCTAATGATGCCAGCTGTTTAAACAACATTAGAAGTTTAAATTTTTAACATGAAGTAAACAGGACATACTTAATTCTGACATCAAACACACATATTTTTAAAATATCAGTATGTCAAAATGAACATGTGAACTGTACAAGAATTATCACACTTCGGTAATTATATTAAGTTCATAAATAGACAGAAAAAGATATCCATATTTTCTATCATAAAAAGACAGAAAAAGTCCAGAGGTCAAATACTAGTGTGGAGTTACCGTATGTGTGAAAAACATCAAGCAAGGTAAAACAGCATTTTTAAAATGTAAGTGAAATAAGTAATCAATAATGACTCTGATACAGAAAATTGTTGGAGCCTATTACAGTGAATTTAACATATCAGTTGCATGTTATAATGACAAACAACTACGGAGGTTTCAGAATGTGTGTACAGTAGTATTCAAGTACAGAGAAATATTGAACATTTTAAAAAAAAAAAAATCAAATTCTAACTTGTATAAAGTACATTCCCTATACCAGTTCAAAAAGATAAATTTTATTTCTCTGACCTTCATTTTGAGTGTATTTTTCAGAAAAATTGACACTGAAACCTTGAGGGTTTTTTCTGGTTTTTTTGGGTGGTGTAGGGATTTTTTGCTTATTTGATTGGTTGGTTTGGGGGATTATTTTGCTGGGTTTTTTCAAATAATAAAGGCAGAATGAAACCATGGAAAGACAATTTCCACAACAGGAAATCAAAATGTCTACTGTATTCATATCCCCTAAATAAAAAATTTCATAACCAAAATAAAAAGCACAGCAATTCATTCAAATAGCAAACAAATACATCTTTCTGAAGGAAAAAAGCCAATCAGAGTTTCCAGGTTTACCAAGCAAAAAATAAAAACTCGGTGCCTTCTATAGGTTTTAACATCAGCACCGCAGCACAGTTGTAAATTTCACTGTCACAGTTTTCACCTGACTATTCCTACCAGGAGTAACAGAAATGGAAGCTACAATACATAGGAACAAGGCAATTTAGCAGAATAGTACAAATATTACATCTACCCTACAAGTGAAATATAAATATAAATACAAATATTACATCTACACTTTCTTAGTGAAAACACTCTATCTTTGCTATACAACTTAATTTTTTTTCTTGTATAAAAGTAGCCTGGGCGAATTCTTGCAAATAATGAAAAAACAGTAATTGTGGCAGTTACCTAGCTTAAAATTTTGGTCAGCAAAACACTCAGACAGACAAGAAAAATTAGGAAACTCAGCTTTACGAACATCAAATCAACTTGCCATTTTCTGTTTTCTTTTTTTTATCATTCCTGCAATTATAAAAATTTTATATATACCTGTGCTGCAGCCCAAATACAGTCTGTATGTTGAGTACTGAGTCTCCCTTCAGCTGCAAGAAAATTCAGAATCACTTGGCACTGTTTGATGATCTGCAAAGTGAGAACATATTGAAGAAAGATTTACTAGAACAAGAAGTTACTCCTCTGTGTTTATACTAAAAATAATAATTTTATACAAACCTCAATATGCAAATTTGGTCCAAAAATGTGCTCAACTACATTGTTGCTGATAAGCCAGTCTGCAAGCTCTTTCGCAATTGACCTAGACATGAAAAAAACAGTGGAAACATATGTAAAATTATCTGCCTATAATATCTACACACTGTGCTCTTCCCTAGCACAGCATGTCTTTCAAATTAATATCTGTAATTGCAGTAAGCATACGAAAACTTTTTTGAAGACAAAGTATACTCAGCTTTCGTTCATTCAGGTAGGAAGCAAATAATTTCTGTAATTTTTTCTTTAGCTGGAAGACTAATGCCAAATATCAACATTTCCCACTCACCCCTCTGGATCGTTACCAAACATGTAACCAACAACTTTACCAGTTTTATTAGTTAATAGAGCTCAACAGACCACCTGCAGACCACTTTCAAAGACCTCACAGGTAAGATTTTGATAAACACTGCTATTTAACCCAAGTTTATAATGAAATTCCAGAACAACTGAGTTCACAAATATAGCTAAAGGTGGGAATGATAGAAATTATTTTTTTAAAGAAAACCACTTAAGTATTTTTAGATTCTCCTAATTAAAAAGCAACTCATATAGCTTTAAAAACCTATATTTTACATGGCCATACTTACACACATGTAGCATACAGATACTTTAAAATTCTCATTTTGTTTCATCCATAACAATAGAGAACTTCACCCACTGCCAATCCATAAGGAAACATTCGAACAGAACAGGACAAGGAAAATGAATTTTCCGTAACAAAAGTTGAACTTCCAGAAACAATTGCCCTGTCTGGATACTATTGCATAAGCTCCTTTTTATTCCTTCCTTTCAAGAAAATGTTTGTTTACCCAGATTTTGGTGCCAGAAGCAATAGGAGGACATCATGGTATTTAAAGCACAGCCTGTAGTTTAAATGGCCCTGGAATAAAAGCAGCCTGTTTCACAAGAAGAAGGGGATGGGATGAAGGGGCTGTCTTAGGGTACTACGGGAAGAATTATTTTTACCACTGCTATCTGTGTCACATTTATGGTCAGTATTAAAACTCCAGGATTGCCAATCTTTATCATCTGTAATAAGAAAGTAAGATTATTTAGGTAAAAAGAAATTGCCTTTATAGGTTTTCCAAACAGGATTCACTTTTCTGTGGCATGTTGCCAGTTCTTAGCATAGTTCTTGGCATCAATTGTTTTGAATTGCTTGATCTCTATGGATGAACTCAGCATAGTTCCTATTACTCAACGTACACCATTCCTACACTGTCCTCTTCTATTCTAACTCCAGAACATGAGGAATCAAATATTCTTATACTGTTCAAAAAAGATAATGCCCCCTAACATTTAAGTAATAACTGGATTGCAAGGTACAACAATTTACCAACAGTATCATTTATGGCTTATTACTAAATTAGTTCTCATACTGTAAAGTAAGTTTGACAGTGTATCTGCTGAAACAGGGATAAAAATGATAAGCCAGGTCTATTCCATAGAATCCATATGCATTTAACTTCCTACAGCCTCATTTCAAAACCAAACCAAAACCCAACCACCACCCCCAACACCCCGAAGATGCCTAACCCAAACCAAACTTTGGAGCACGTGCATTACAGAGTCATTCAGGGCTTGGATTTTTGTCCAATACAATCTGAAGATCCTTTCACTGTGATTTTGCAGGTTTTACAGCTAAAGGAACTTACTATTCATTTGAATATATCCTACCAGTTTCCTTCAGCGACAAGCATGGCTCTAAAAAATGCTCTTTTCCACTTGCCTCCATGCTGACAACTACAAGTGACCATAGTGGCATTGTCCATATAGCTCAAGAGACTATAGCTCTGTTCTTTTTCATTTTGTCATACAGCTGGTAGACTTGATTATAGATTCATCCTAAATCACAAATGCCCAACCCACTCTCCGAAAACTGAATGCAGCCTGCAAAAAAGTTCCTTGAACTTACGCCCTATTCACCCCTAGCTCCTTCTTATGACTTTACACGGCTTCCCCTTGCTGTGGGCAGAAGCGCTCCTCCTACATGACCAAAATATAAGCAGAAAGCCTCACAGTTCGCATTTTGCATGTATAAAAGGTAGACAGAGCTGGTCACATGAGTGAACATACACCTGCTAGATGCAGGAGAACTGAATGGATGCCCTTCTGGTTATGAAATGTGAAATAAGTAATTGCATATGGTCCTCCATAAGAGGCAAAAGCCTTACACCTGAGTCGTAAGTCAATGGAGGTAATTTTGTTCCAGGACCACTTAATTTCTTCCCGGATCTGAATTTTTACACCTGCAGCTTTCAGAATGCATCCAAGATAAACAGTGCTAGATTCACTAGGTGATATTAATATGAAAGGACATACTGCTCAGTGTGTCTCTAAACAAAATACTTCTGCTAGTGGTACAATGTCCGTTAGACATTGTATCCAGAGTCATATGTTGTATTTTAGCTACTCCAAAGGAAAGAACAAAAACTCTCCCCTAGACTGAGTTCCTTCACATTTTATTAACTTAGTATGGCTGTTCTGTGTCTATAATCTGCAACATTTTTATTTTGAGAAATAATGAATTATTCTTTTGAAGGAATACCTTTTTTTAATAGATGTATTCTTAGCGGTAAAAAACTCTTTATCCTACTGGTGAGCTCAACTGTGATCAAATGACATCTCAGATTTCTGAAGGTAAACATTCATTTGGTATGGATTTGGTGGTTTTCCAGCTCCTTGGTAAGTTTCCTCACTTTCAAACAGAGCGAACACCTTAACTCACAAGCAATTCCAGAACTTCACATAAACAAACTGCCTGCTTATGAATAAATTAACCTATGATTTAGGCTTGTATACTGTCAGTTATCCCATTTTTACTTCAATAATTATCAAATGCCCTGTAGTCTTGAGAAATTTCAGATACACTCAAGTTCATAAAAATTCACTAAGTTCTGAGTTGCCCCAATAAGCAGGGCAACCTAGAATAACTTTTTATTAAAAGATTTAAAGTATAATTTTCAATATTTTTCAATACGGTTTAATTTCGATTTCTAGATATGTTAAAATATCTTTTAAATAGTCTGTATTCTTTGTAATTCAAAAGTACTTTTTCATAAAGCATTTTTCAAATTGTTATATGGCTATTACTATACAATATCACCATAATTCAGGCAACTTATTAAGAGCTCCACTTCCAGTAAAAACATGCTCAAATTTTCTTTTAAAAGAAGTTCTTCAAAAGGTTATAGGAAAATTTTCCTCCTTCATACTGAAGGAAACAGTGAGAGTGAAAATCATGCATTACAATCAAAGTATAGATATGCTGTTTCCTCTGACATGAAAGTAGCAGTACAAAGAACGGTTTTACAAATTAGAGATCTAAGTCATACAGACCTTAGTAGTAAAAACATTCACCTTGGTAATAACATGTATTAGCTATTTTTCATGGATTTAGTAATCGGGATAGCAACAGAAGTCCTTTAAAGAACATTATACTCTCTACGAGTGTGTGTTGTGGGTGAGGGAGAAGTGAATGAAAAATTAAGGGTTAGCAGCTACTCTAGTTTAACTGTCTCTAAATCTCTCACACTGGAAATCTACACAACATATTGGTCTACATGATCTCTAGACTTAATCAATCTCTCCCTAGACTTTTAATTTAAATTCACTGACAATTCATGTCTGTCAAAAATAATCTGACATAACCTGATGTTTGTAAACTGTACTTATGAAAGGCAAGTTGTAGAGCTTACAATCAGGAAGGAAACTACAGTTTATGCATTTTCCTGGTAGGTCAAAGAATGCCTCTCTATAAGAGGACTAGATTAAAGTCCTAGAAACATTTTACTCTAAGGCTGTGGTGCAATACTTGGTAGCCACATGATGACCCAGATCCAGGAACAAATCCCACAGCAAAATACCCCCCCTCCCCCCAAGAAAACCTTATTTATCCAACCAGCCAATTCCCAACACAATTCACCATGCAGCTACAAAAACACATCAGCTCAGTACTACACAAAATACAACTGCAAGTCAGCAACATCACTGAAAAGTACAGTCTAAAACCTTAGAAGAAATGTAGCAATGTAACGAGCAGCTTGCAAAGGATGAAGACTAACACTTATTGACAAAATCACTGCAATAGCATCTACAATACATCAATGGACGTGAAACACTGATCTCAACTAAATAGATATAGCAGGCACCTTCCCAACACATTCAAGCACACGTTTTTGTTTATGAGCGCACATCTTCCTATTTGATGCTCTGCAGACTCCAAAACCACCACTATCACAACATTTTGAATATTTATTAAACTACTGTGTATTCCACTAGAAAGAAACATTAGTGGGGCTAAGTGAAAAACTTTACTGCTATTTTTTACAGAGACAATCTGAAAAGATCCCTGGAATGTGGAATAGAGAGAGGTGAAGAGGTGTTTAAAAGATGCTGCCATAAACTCGGTTGGTGAGCTTTGACAAAAAATGAGAAAGCAAGAGTTAACACGAGCTAAGAGAACAGCGGTGAAGTGAAAAAGCAATAGAAAATTTGCAGTTTAACATCTCAATAAGTAAGGAAAGCGAGCGAAAAGAAAGGAGAAGAAACAGTCCAGATCTTACTGTTCAGAGGTGAAAGGAATTTTGGGCACCTAAAATTACTCTGTAGGAAGCTTTTTAAGTGAGGTTAATCAAGTTTATAAATGAGGCAGGAGGCCATCTCAGCTCCAGTCTGAATCCTGAAACTCAAATACTTGGCTGTCTGCCAAGTGAAGAGCAAAACAAAATATTTCTTTACACATGTTATTTGCACAGGATGACATCGTCTCTTGTGGTCTAAACAGCTAAAAAAACCCAAACCTTTCCCTCCCTGAAAGGCATGATCAATTTTCACTAACCAACATCAGCAAAATAGTTTTAGGAATCAGAGAAAATAGTTTTAGGAATGAGTATTCTAAGACTTGAGGACTCTTCTGTTCAGTCTTGTCATTTTAGCTTTAATAGATTCTTATAATTTTTAGATTCAATAGATTCATACTCTTCAGTACTTAAGATAGAATCAATTTCCTTGCAATATGAAGAGCCAGGAACAACAGTTAAATCAAAACTATCTCTCTGAGGGATATTATGAAACTGAGTCACTGATACACTGCACATACTGGACAATACACACACTCAGTCACCACAAACCCTCAACCCAAGAGAAGACAGTCAGTAAACCAAATCTAAAGAAACATACAAATACCTACAGCTAGAAAATAGATTTCTCTGTCTTAGCTTTCTGCTGCTTTCAAGTGCAGGTTGTGAAATCCAATGTTTTCCTAGAGATGCTTTAGCTTGTCCTACCATGGAAAAAATTGCAACCATGCAGATAAAGCTGGGAAGTTACTGTTGCAAAATATTTGCTAAAAAATCCTGATGATACTCCCCCCCAAAAAAGGGAAGAGCTAGGACCAACTGATAGCTCTTTTTTTAAAAAGAAAGATACTTCCCACAAACCCACCTTGCCAAGATACAGAAGCAGAAATCCCAAAGGTTGACAGTTCCAAACGCATCTGGAAAAGTCAAAACACATAATGGGGATGACCAGACAACGCAAAACATCTTCCTTTGATACATCTGCAGAGGCTACAAAGGTACAAAATAAATCCCAGACTTCCGTTCTCCACTAAGGAAAGAAAATAGTAACAAAAAGCTTTCCTTTTGCTGCTCATTCAATCATTGCCAACTCCATAAGTGCCATCTCATCCAAAAATTTCTCATGAACAGAGTCACTAATGAGACGGAAGCTTTCACTGAACAAACTGTGGAAGTGAGACATTTTCCCCATCCTTCTGCACCAGCCTTTTGTGACCATTTGGCTGGAAGATCTCAGTGATTTCAAAAGATATACGAAGATACACTGCAATACTTCACAAAAGTGGAAAAGAAGGTCTTCTGTTCATGCTGTATTCCTTTCAAAAACAGGCTGTTTACAGATGCCCTTGCCAGGAAAGTAATATTCCCAGTGAGCATCTGACAATTTCTTTCAGCTTTAAAACAACTCTGATGTTCTTGCATAGTATACCCGCTTTTCTACAGGGAAGTTTAAGCACCCTTCTCTTTATCCCCTGTTGATAACTTCCTTTTTTACATTTGACACAGAAAATTCAACAACTTTTTATTAAGTTTAACTGGCAGAGTAACTTCATCTCAATGTACCTTAATTAGTTACTACTAGTTAAAAGCTATTTTATTCACAATGTATTTCAGAAGATAAACTAACCAAGAAACACCTCAGTTTCAGATTCCCAACATGAAGGACAGAATAGAAGAAATAGATAAAATAGAGGTTTGGCAGTCCCAGTGTAACAATACAGCATAAACTGTCAGTACAATACTGAAAATACACCAGCCAACCAAGCCACCTCACATACTCGACATGTTATGCTCTTGTAGTGTTTATTTCTACTGCTACAGAACTAGAGGCTTTGGAAAAAACCCAATACCTCTCCCAGGGCACAAAATATATAAGTATATATCATATTAAAGTAACAAATGTGGTTACATTTATTACAATAATGCAAAATTTTTGAAACGTACATGAGCTTAATGACATGACATTCAGGTTTCACCAGCTCATAGTAAGATATTTGTGCCATACTTGAGGAAAATTCTTTTTTTCTGACACTATGTATCAAAATGTACTTTGAAATAAGCAGATAGCATGGATTCATGTTCACCTACTGATTTAGTGACAAAGGACAATAAAAAGTTGATCACAAGTGGTTATTCATTTTATATTCTCAAGGTATTTTCATATCTTTATGAAAGCAAAACTGTCCTAGGTTCTGATTCTTTATTTTTAAAATATCAACGTATTACCATAAATTTTACTTCAAATATTCCAGTTGCTATTTAAATGAAATCAACAGTATTGTGGTCTTGACTACTGCCAGATTTCAGTAAGCAGGTGTTAAAATAAAACCACCTATAATAAAACTCCCCAGACAAAAAATCAAGCCAACTGCTGGTGTAACAGACCTCTCATTAACGGGCAAAAGATAGTGGAGAGTGTGTGTCTGTAGCGAGAGAGATACACACAGGGATACAACCCCCAAGATATAAGGAGCATGTCACAAAATGAGGGTGAAGGAGAATCTCCATCCTCTATTAGATGCCAGGGGAAACTTAGTGACAAAGGATGAGGCAAGGCTGAGGTACTTAATGCCTTCTTTGTCTCAGTCTTTAACAGTAAGGGAAGTTGTTCTCCAGACACACAGTCCCCTGAGCAGGAAAACAGGGATGGGGAGCAGAAGGAAATTCCCAAAATCCACGGGTAAATGGTCAGCGATCTGCTATGTCATATAGACACACACAGGTCTATGGGGCCAGATGGGATTCACCCAATGGTGCTGAAGGAGCTGGTGGATGTACTTGCTAAGCCACTTTCCATCACCTATTAGCAGTCCTGGCTAACTGGGGAGGTCCCAGTTGACTGGAAGTTAGCTAATGTGACACCATCTACAAGAAGAGCAGGAAGGAGGACTCTGGGAACTACAGGCCTGTCTGTATAACCTCAGTGCCAGGGAATGTTATGGAGCAGATCATCTGGAGTGACATCATGCAGCACATACAGGACAACCAGGCAATCAGGCCTAGACAGCATGGGTTTATGAAAGGCAGGTCCTGCTGGACTAACCTGATCTCCTTCTATGACAAGGTGATAAGCTTAGTTGATGAGGGAAAGGCTGTGTATGTTTGTCTACCTAGACTTCAGCAAAGCCTTTGACACTGTTTCCCACAGGAGAAACCAGATTCTTATGACTTGGATGGGTACACACTTTGCTGGGTAAAAAACTGGCTAGATGGCCAGGCCCAAAGAGCCGTGGCAAACGGAGTTAAACACAGCTGGCAGCCGGTCACGAGTGGTGCTTAACATCTTTATCAACGATCTGGACGAGGGGATCGAGTGCACCCTTGATGACACCAAGCTGGGCGGGAGTGTCAATCTGCTTGAGGGATGAGGTTCAACAAAGGCAAATGCAGGGTCCTGTACCTGGGGAGGAACAACCCCATGCATCAGTACAGGCTTGGGGTGGACCTGCTGCAGAGCTGCCCGGCGGAAAAAGATCTTGAGATGTTAGTCGACAGCCAGCTGAACATGAGCCAGCAGTGTGCACAGGTGGCCAAGAAGGCCAATGGCATCCTGGCTTGTGTCAGGAATAGTGTGGCCAGCAGGAGTAGGGAAGCGATTGTCCCCCTGTACTTGGCACTGGTGAGGCCGCACCTCAAACACTGTGTTCAGTTTTGGGCCCCTCGCTACAAGAAAGACATTGAGGTGCTGGAGTGTGTCCATAGAAGGGCTATGAGGCTGGTGAAAGGGCTAGTCTTATGAAGAGCGGCTGAGGAAACTGGGGTTGTTTAGTCTGGAGAAGAGGAGGCTGAGGGGAGACCTTATTGCTCTCTACAACTACCTGAAAGGAGGTTGTAGTGAGGTGGGTGTCTCTTCTCCCAAGTAACAGACAATAGGATAAGAGGAAAGGGCTTCAAGTTGTGCAAGGGCAGGTTTAGATTTGATATTAGGAAAAATTTCTTCACTGAAAGAGTGGTCAGGCATTGGAATAGGCTGCCCAGGGAAGTCGTTGAGACACCATCCCTGGAGGTGTTTAAAAGACGCAGAGATGCAGAGCTTCACAACACGGTTTAGTGGTGGAATTGACAGTGCTAGGTGGTGGAATTGACACTGCTAGGTTAATGGTTAGACTCGATGATCTTGGCAGTCTCCTCCAACCTAAACGATTCCATGACTCTATGATCACACCCAAGATAAACACAGAGTATGCCACAAGTAAAATCCTAGATTTTAAATACTTCACCCTATTATTTCAAAAGAACAGTTATTTCAACTACCTAAAGACATACTTTTTTCTAAATTCTAGATAGTTCTAATATTAAGTTTAGAGTTACTACAAAAATCAATACATTTCCTCACTGGAATATAATCTCACACGTGAATCTTCTGGAAGATTTACAGGAGTCCCCTTCAGAATTGTTAAACACACCTGAATTATATAAATAAGGACTCTGAAGAAAAACAACAAACAGCACAGTCTCACAGACTCAGTGGAAAACTACTAACAAGGCTGTGTGCCAGTGATGGCAAGGCAACTCTTAGTTAACTAAATAATCAGGAGAAATGAGAAGACAGCAATAATACTACTTGGATATGAATCAGCTGGTTCTTCTTTATAAACCACAATGGAGATAATGGCCCACTATAGGTATTCATTATTCCAGTATCTACAATCTTCTAAAGGTTACCTTGACTCTATCTTTTAAGACAGTAAAAAATCCACTAACATTTAGAAATATTTTTAAAGTTACCATTTAAAACCATTTGTTAAACCCCTGACTACAATATTTCTAATAAATGCCTCAGATTATCACTACTTCCCACTGTTTACAATCCATAACAACAACACAGAACTACAACAATATACACTTAAACTATTCATTATAATGTTCCTACTTACGTTTCTGTGTCTGAAACTAATGACTCATTATTACACACATCATTGAAGGTATGAAGTTGGTTCTATAGATAGAAAAAGGAAGAAAAAAATTAAAATTTTATCTGTCTTTTGTGAGGCAGTTTTCTTATATTTAAAAACAGTATTAGTGACAGTAAACAATTTTTTCTAGCACTTTCAATGTTTTTAAATAAATCATTGACAAAAATTTGAACAGGCAGGTAAGAGGGATCAATTTTCTTTTTTAATCAACCTTTCTTTCACTAAAGCAACTAAACGATGTCACAAAACTCCACCCACTCCAGAAATCAAAACAAGGTGTGCAGCAGTTACTTTGCACATACGTTTTCATAAGAAATGAAACACATACTCTGGAAACTGATGTTTTAGGATGAGTTTCCCCATTATTTTAACACTTAAAAATCTTAGCAAAGATTTCTTTTGTCACGTTATTAGTGCTGAAAGTCTACAAAACTGGAGAGTGAAAATTACAAATTTTTATATGAAATGAAGCTTTCAAAGGTATCTGAACTGATAAATTCAAGACATCCCAGAGAAAAAAAAAGCCTGGTAAAGGTTTATGTATCTTTTTCACCCTCTTCCTCGGCATCAGCTTTCCAGATACAGAGATGCCTGTGTATCCAACTCTTTACATGTGCATTATATTTTTTAAATATTTAAAATTATGTAATAGAGCTGCTTTGTAATCTTTTTTTTTTTAAAAAAAGACACAGTAATGTCAATTTTTGAAATTAAAATTAAACTTGTTGCATAACTTTGTCAAAATGTTTACTCTTTTCTGTCTTGAAACAAGTCTGGTATGCACTCTATAACTCGGTGACAGCTAATCTCCTGCAGTCTTACACAAAGATCTATTCATGTCCAATCCCAACAATTTTCATGGGAAAAAATTTTTTGAAGAAAAATAATCGAAAATATGTATTAAAATTAGTGAGACATGAAAGCCTGATTACACAATTATTAATCGATACGTTATTACTTTCAAATGAAACATATTTAGGAGTGGAAAACCTTGTCAACAGAACTTCATGAAGAAATTGTTATAACCAATTACAATGGGGTCAAATAAAGAAGTGAAAGTTCACTTGCTTTTCTGAAGACTCCTGTCCCAACCAAAAATGTTTTGAAAGGGATCAAAGAGTGAAAGAGTATTGAACTGCTATTATCATGAATTTTAAATCCACAGTCACACGTTGATCCAAATTTCCCATACAGAATCTTTATCCAAGGAAATTTTGACAGAAGGTGTTTGTTTTCACACTGGTATTTTCAAACAATTTTTACAGTAAGTTCAATTAAAGTCTTAGAATTTTGACACAACAGTGCAAAACAAAATACACATGGAAAGTGTTACACCACTTTATTTTCACTCACCTCCTAACATTTTTTTCACTTCATGTTTCGTTACCATGAAATGTCAAAGGGAATAAAATAATTCTACAATTTTTTACCACATATGAAACATAGTAAGAAACTAAAGACACCTGTGCCCAGACACTCGATTAATGTAATACAAATGTGTTAGTTAAGAAGCACAACAAAGGTATAAAGTCTTCAGCAAAGAAAGCTGAAAATAAAAAGGCATCTCCCTAGCCAGTCTTGTCTCAGGACCCAGGCATCAAAGGTAATTAAACTTTCTACATAGGAAACCAATGCAAGAAGAATAAATGTGCACTGTTCAAGTTTTGCATTGAATTTGTTAATGAAAAACCTAATAATGTTGCATTTGCATTTTCACTAATGCACAGAATCAAATAAAAAGGGGTTGAAAAACTGAAAAACGAAGGATGGCCAGATCAGTTACATATATTAATTTTCACATGCTTAAGTTCATTTGTAACTGGAAGGACAGGAAAATGAGAGCCCTATTTGTGAGGGAGAAGAGAGTATCTTGGAGCTGAACCACCTCAACTGATGACTGGGAGATGAAATCAAAGAGAAACAACGGAACAGCAAAAATAAAGCTTGAGGTATCTTGGTTTACATTTTGCTGTTCTTTTCTGTAGCTATTTCCAAGTTCATATTCAACCACTCAAGTTTCCACTTTGCTAAAACTAACTCTCATGTGTCTATCTTCAACCTTGTTTTGTAAATAACTTTAGTCGGATGATATGACACATTATGTATATGCTACTCTTCAAGGGAGGCAAGTCTATATTTGGTGGTAAGCAAATACAATCCCTGTATGCCACACAGCATGTATTCTGTGAGTCTCAAGAGGTTCCATGAAACTGAAAGGTTTAATTTTAGGACTGGTCACATTAACCTTCACACAGGAAGAATAAAAAAATCTATTGGCAGACACAAATTAACACCTCTGTCTTAGAAGACATTCACCTGTGTAGAGTCACTCATATTCTTGGTCAACAATTTCTGTCTCCACGATGAGAGCAGAAGTATATTTATCTTGCAAAAGAAACAATTAGGCAAGCCACAGATATTATTTGACCAAATATACTTCACTCTTGATCTTAGGAGTGAAATTAGAAATCTGCATCTGAGTCAACTTTTCTTTGGAATAAAGTACATATTGAAAAGTTCACTCTTTAAAATCTTTTGCACATAATTTGCTGGAAGTTTTCTTTGAATCTTCCCATCTGTTTGCAAAATGAAATGAAGAATTGCTTCAAGCCTAAATGCTTAACTTCTGGCAAATTTAAGTCCAGGAAAAGAAAACATTTTGCAGTTGCAGGTATCGTAGTTCCAAAATCTTTAATACAAAACAGGAAGTTGAACTCATGTTGGCTGGTAAGACCATTTCAACAAATTTACTTTGACAAATTCTAGCCAAAGACCTGAACAGAAAAAAGAACCTTCAAAAAAGTAGTCATGAAGGTACATCTGTAACAGAGAAGGCTGTAAGAAAATACTAACTAATGAAACTGAACTACATCACATCTTTGTAAACACATCTTTGTTTGCAAAGAGGACAAAAACTTCAGTAAAGAGGCAGACAAAATGTCTTTAAATTTTGGTTCTGATTTCACACTCAAGGTTGCAAAGAACTGGCAATTAAAATTCCTCCAGGCAATGCATACAAAACTAAATGAACCAAAGTGTTTCTCAAACTCAGAAGTCAAACAAGAAAAATCAAAATACGCTTCTTCTAATTCTTTGAAAAGAAAACCAAAGCAGAGAAAATTTCCTATGATTTGAATAAGAAAGAATAAGTTGTCTCAGTGTTCCAGGGCAGTTTTAGAGACTATTCATATAAAAAAGACTTAACTTATTAACAAAAAATATTCCATTTTTTTACAGGCTGAAATAGATTCACTTTAGTCTTAACATACTGTAAAATGTTGCTTCTGGTAATACATACATTATTAAAAATCTCACTTTTACAGTCAGTATTTATCAATCATAACTGCTTAAAATTACACCATTTCACACTCCCTTAAATGAACTACATGCCTGAAAAAATAAACAAACTGATGCATTCTTATTTTCAGACTTTCTTTTGGTGAGGGTACAGAAAAAGACATACATAACTAGTTGAACAACAACAATTGTGCAAAACCAAAGGAAAGTACTTACAGGAATAAAAATCTAACGTAAATGGAACTATGCAAACATTGAAAATTTACTTTAAAATAAATTATACTGAAAATTACATTTTCCAAAACTGTGCAGAATAAAAAAAAACCAGGAAGTTACTCTTATGTCCAGTTAACGGCGACATTTTAAAATGTATCTGTCAAGTATTATGAGTATCAGAAACCTGTAACTGTATAAATAATAAAACACATGGCCATGAAAATTAAAAACAAAAATATGCTACATTTTCACTTAAGACTTCATCAACTCTCTGGAGTTCTCTGATTACACAAGAAGAACCCTGAACGTTCACTTTACACTAATTAATTATGACAGAAGATTAGAATTCAGGCACTGAATATATTATATGCAGCATTCATATAAATCACTTACATACATAAAATATATTTAAAGTAATGTCACTATTTCTTCCAAAAGGTAACTTTCTCTGTATCATGCTTTAGCATCACTACTGGATGAACTGCATTATGTTTTCATTCATGAATGCATGGTCCATTCAGTTTTGTATTTATAAGTCCAATAAACAGAGTTACCCTTAGAATAGCATTTGACAAATATTGAGTGGATGTAGTTCACAGACTTTTTTTTTTAACTTAGCAGGTCACATACCTATGTCAATTAAATATTTATTTTGGTTAAAAACCACCTATAATCTGACAGGAAATACTTACCGGTTACTTTACATTGCCATTTATTAAAAGAATTTTAAGTACTTCTATACATAAACATAGCGAGAAGCAAAATCAAATCTAAGTAAACTTGTCTTGTATTTACTGACAGTCAGTGATGATGAAAGTCACTGAGTGATACTACGTAATCAGTTAGAACAGAGAAGGCTAAATGTGTTCAGAAAATACTACAAAACTTAGGGAGAGCATGTTTATTCATTCTAGTATAGTTTGTTCCTATTCACCATTTTGTGCATTAAGGCAAACGTGACAGTATGAGCTACAAATCTTAAAACACAGGAGTGTCAGAAGAAACACAAAATTGAAAAGGCTCAGATGAATAAAAAAGTTCACTTTTGACCTTCTGTATAAGTGTCTCCCTATGGCTGTAATACATACATTGGAAGCAATGGCAGACAGAGGATGCACAACGTAGCCTGACCAGTGCAATGTGGAGCACTTCCATGGGAAACAGAAGGGTGGGGGCATTTTTTTTGCTTTAATCTATTTCTGTTTGATGCTATATATATTTACTTCTCCAATCCAGTCTTCTGCTAATTAATGCAGAAATGCTCTCTCTTGAGAAACAGACTACACTAAACAAACAGGAAAAAGAGGTATGTGTAATACAAAGCAGCAGCTAATTACAGTAGGGTCCAGACACTGTAAATGTAAAAATGAAAACAGATTGAAAGCCTTTGTAAACAAAAAATATGGCCATGTCAAGGGACTTAATTTCAACATCGCTGTCACAAAACATGGTTATAAAACAGTTTTGTTTAGCATGGTAAATTGTTTAGGAAATATGTTACAGTTCTATATGCTGCAGAATATAGCCATCACTTGGACTTATCTCTCAGTGAATCCCATATTCACAATCATGACTGCAATTTCCCAAGATTGCATACAAGAGGATTCTGCTGTTTTCACACAGTAAAAAAGCCCCCAAAACAACTCTGTAACTCATAAAACACAAAAACAAACATTTTTCTAAATATTATTTATATTTTTAAAAAGTTCTTACTGTTATTTGACTCAGCCCAGCCAATCTCATTGTTAGAGTCGGAGACATAAAGTATTTAAACGCAAGATCAAGACTTTCTTTATCAAAACACAAAGCTGTATCCAATGGTTCTTTAACTGTGCTCCACATTAAATCTGCCATGTTCCGTGCTGCACTCTGTCGCAACTCCTGGTCTGACAGTTTACATAAATACCTAGAATAAATTACAAATGGAAGAAAAAGGGGGGGCATGACTCAAACCAGAACATTGCTGGAACAGCATCTTGATTATAGCAAATATATATTTCCAATATCTATTAGAGTACTAAGCCTTAAAATACCACTATCAAAAGCTGGCAACAATAAAAAAAAACATCGAGGAAAACCAGAATCATGCAGAGTATTTTTAAAAGTAAATAAATTTCTTATTTTAATAAACCTCTTCAGATTTCTTTCATTCCACAGAATGACAGGAAACCCATAGAATTCTTTGCAAATGAAGGTTGGGAAGCCTAAACCTTGTATCTGTTTCAGGTGAAGGTGCCCTCTCCAAATAGCTGCATTATATCTATTTACTTTCTTTAAAACCGAAGTGTCACAATGCACTTCACATATTAATATACTTCAAAATCGAATTTCTGGAAGCAGTGTCAATGGGCCACAAACAGTACGCTCTTGACAGCTGAGAATCCTCTGAATATGAATATATGCCTGTTTGTGGCCTCAGGCACAGAACAGAAAAAAATTATAATTGTGCAATCACATTCTGATACAATTAGAGCAAATGTGGTACATGTGTACTTTTTCTGCCATAACCATATGCCACTGTGCTTGTGTATCAGTACTCCCTGTGGTACAGTACTGCTTTCATAACAGGTTACTACAGGAACACATACCCAAGTTGTTTATTTTATTGACAATAACTATGATCTTTAAGGACGCATGTGTAGCATCATCAAGGATCCTATGAATCCTGCAGAGAAACCAAAAATGCTAAAGAATTTTAAATTGCTAAGCTCTTCCTACTGCAGACTTCTCAGATAAGGGTCACCTAATCATCCATAATGAGTCGCAATACAGATATTCTCTGCAAATAGGAGGCAGAAGAAATAATCATTTATAAGAACATACAGAACACAGCACAACCTCAGCCTTACCCAAGCAGCTACAAGATTCAGACACATCAAGAAAACCTGTACTGAAATGCCTGTAAAGTTCACATATGACATCTTGGCACAGTTGAGACTTCCTTCCAAACTGAGTGCGTAAAATAAAAATGTTTAGAAACAAGTTTTGCTGAGCTTATTTTGAGGCAATTAAAGAACGCACAGTGAAAGGTACATACATACAAGGTTAGTATAATTAAATTTTTCTGCTATACTTCAGCATTTTGAAGTTTCAACTACATCCAAACTAGATTTAACTACACAGAAATGCATTAAAAATCCATTTGTTTGACAGCCTAAGCCTGGATCTATCCTTGGAGACTGGCCAAACAGACACGTGAATCTTAAAAAACATAAGAGATATTAAACTACACTTAACTAGATTTATGCACCATTCCTTTGTATTTACATCATATAAACATCAGTAGCGCTTTTTTTTTTTTAAAGCTACAACACAGGCCCTGATTCTTATTTAGATTGACAACCTCTTTCAGAGCTCTTGTGCAGAGGCCTTAAAATAAACACACTTAAATGATACTTAACATTGTCAAACACAGAAGAGACTTCAGTGCAAATAATCATAGAGACTGTAGATCTATGATAGAAATCACAGATAAGTAACGTTAGGACAAAAGAAGGACCATTCAGGGCCAAGGCAACCAGATCCTTCACTGTTATTATTTGTGAAATTTATCTTCTCACGTGGAGTACCGGAAATCAGATCTTGGTAATAAAGTAAATGCTTCTGTGCTATGATTTCTAAACAAAAGAAAAGCAGCAACGAGAATGGAATACTCATTTGAAAAAGTTCAGCAGCAGACCAGTGACCTGTCTCAGACAGCTAAGAGGAGTTCTGCTCTGATGAAAAAATGCATTGGTCCATGTTACAAAAGGTAATAATCTCAATATGACTATGAGCAATGTCAGACCAGTTTTTACCTCCCCACTTGTATATATAAACTGTAATCAGCCCTTGTTTCCAAAGCTTTTCAAAGGTAATAATGCACATCAAGTCATACTCAACTGTTTTGTGAAGGATTTTTTAAGATCTCAAAGCTGTTAAAATAAGTTATATGAATGTTCTCATTCTCCCTGACAGGTAAAGAGTGTTTGTATGCAAAAGGCAGGTGGGAATGGACACAGATCTATACATACAGAAAGAAGGGTGCTTTTATGGCTGCACTGGATTTCTAACAGGACATTCAATTGAAACCTTCCTCGCACTAGAAAGTCTGGTGAAGCAACTATGCTAATCTAGTTAATAAAACAAAACTTTTTTTTTTTATTTTAATGCAAAAGTATCAGTATAAAACTCCTTTTATTCTTAAAATTTACACAATAACATTTTAAGGGTCTTTCAGTGCATTTACTGTATTTGGTCCAAGCCTGAATCAGACCTGTGTTGTGTTTTCTGTAGTATAGTATCATTAAGAGATAGTGTATTAAAAATCCCACTTTTATAATAACTGCAACTACAGTGTAGGTGCATTTTCACAGCTACAGAAGTCCTTCAACAGTATGATCTGTTTTGCCAAGGCCCTTGAGAAAGCTACAGAGAAAAGAGTACTTATTGCTTGATAATCTGCATCCTAACTAAGCTTTTTTAATGTAATTGGGTTACTCTAACCAGGCACAGTATAAATGTAGTAGAAGATAGCATACTTGTCTTTAGAAGCACAAGTGTAATTACTCTAAAAAATTTATTGGCACCACTACACTGTCATAAATCAAATACGATCATTATGTTTACTACCAGGATTAAAACTATAGCAACTTGCAGAATAGGTCAAGCCTCGCTTTTATTTTGGAAAGATACAGTGGCCTAAGCTCATCTGTATCAGTAAACTGAGTCCATTTTATGCTTTTACCAGTAGAACGTTACTATTAACAAAAAAGAAATTTTTAGGTAGCACTGGTAATTAACACACATCTTTCCTTACAATAACTGTAAATTTGCTGCATTGCCTTACATAAGAACAGTGATACTGGAGAAAGGCAAAAGGTCTATTTTAGCCCAAAATAGCCACTCCAAAAGCAGATGAAAGATTTACCCCATATGTAAAAAAAATATGGATGAACCTATCTAATATTGTGAATTAATATATCTCTATTTATACTTTTGGCTTTCTCATTAACCTATGCCAGTTGGTTTCACAATTACGTTCACATGAAAAACAATCTCCTTGATTTCTCATCTGCAATATGACAATTATATTACATGTTCTCCATTTCTTGTTTTTAAAAACCGTGAATTATCATTCCCTATTTATTGTCTTCATATCACTTGTATAACAGCCATCTCCCTATAAAAAAAAAAATCCTGGACTACATCTCTCCTCCTGTCAAGGTAATTTTTATCTCCTACCTTCTTTGTCACCCTTGCTATCACCTAGGTAGTTCTGTCATCACCTCTGTGAGATGAAATGATCAGAACTGCATATAGTACATAAATGTGAATATGTGACTGATTCATACAATGGCTTAATAATAGCTTCCATTCTTCCTTCATTATTTTTTTAATTCCTAAAGTTTTGTTATTTTGTTTCTGATAAACCTTAAGTCTTACAGGAATATATGAATGATTCTTCAGGATCTGTGTAATCTAGTAAATCCAACATTTTTGCCTAAATGATACTTTTGGAAAGAAACATACTTCTTTTTACACATATGCATAAAAGATAGTTATATATGTGTAGGACCTCATCCTGACATATACACATATACCAGTATGGCGGCCTGGCATACTTAAAATAATAATCAGTGAATATATATCATCTACATTTAAGCAACACATATACATACACATGAATTTTTTAAAACATCAGTTTTAGTCTACTGAAACTATTTATATATGCTGTATTTGGGGACAGAAAGAGTTCAGTTTTAAATGTGTAGTTCCACTTTAATGTGATGCTTACAATCACATCTTACGCTTCAGGACTTCGCTACTCAGCTGTGAAATAATCTTTTTTTCCCTTAATCTGACTCCTTTGAAACACAGCTGCAAAAGGGATATCAAGCAGAATGAGTGAGTGCCCCTCAGTGATACGAAGAATTCACTTAAGCACCTGGCTATTGCCTCCTGGCTTGCCCATCGTTTGTACTTACAGCATAAATTTTCAGATTTTTGGAGGAGTGAAATATTTTTCACAATTGAAAACTTCAAGGCTTATTACAAGAGTTTTTCATGACATCTAGCAGCAAGGAGTCTTGGGCTCCGTAACACCCAAATTCTTAAGAAAAATATTTTTAAGCAGACGAGTACTTTGATGTCTTTCAGCTGCATTTTGTGCCACTGTATTCCACAGGAAGCAGTGTGGACCAAGAATTCTGTTTGGAGCTTCCACTTCCTCTGCATATAGCAGTACTATGCTTCTGTGCTGGAACTACATGGCTAACACAGGAGCAACTGCCACTTGCAATTTCCTCTCAATGTGCTTGAGCACAGAATGTTCTGTTTCTCCTAACTGGGGCAGAGACACGAATCCTTCGTAAAAAATCTCTCAAGACCCATCTTCAGGTGGGAGAGAGGAAAATGGGTTAGAACTATGCTTTGGCAGGGGGGTTGGACTAGATGACCCACAGAGGTCCCTTCCAACCCCGAACATTCTGTGATTCCGTAAATATGATACTGGTCAGCACTAATGCTACACATTGCTCTTGGATTTTACCAGAGGAATATTAAATAGGTGATACCAACTGTGATGTCAAAGAAAGAAGAATTTTAGGTCTTTTCCTTCATACTATTCAGCACTTTTTGGTGGTTTATAGAGACACTTATATCAGACATACAATGCTATCTCTTACTCCTCATAAAACTGGACTGCATTGCTAGTTGTCTTCTTTCTAAAGGACAGAACTATCCATGACACTTTCAATCAACTACCTTGCCACTGAAAAAACACTGTCCTCAAAACACGGCTCTTTATAGCTACTGCCCTTTTGAGGCATTCAATATCTGGAATAATGTAGAGCATCCCTCATCTCTGATCTTGAGGTGGAAGTCAGCTGGAACCAATGCGTTTTATAAAGAGACATAATCGACAACTTGCCCTCATTTATAATTGCAATAAGCTATGACTTATTTTCTTGAGTCACTTTCTCAGTAGATCTCTCCTTTTTTTCATGAGAATTTTGCAATTTGAAATGCAGAATTCTAAGGTATTAGGATCAATAAAAGTTTCCTTCTGAGGAGGTCAAAACCACTTTGCTTCTTTATTGAAAGCATGTCCTCTATTTCTTTCCTAAACTGCTTAAAAACATAGGCCCTTCAGAGGCAAGATATGCTTGCTAGTGCTCCATTCCCTAGGCTGAAAATAACATCAGTCTTCTTAGTAGCAGCAATAAAGACAGGATTGTGTCCATGATCTTTGCAAATTCCAGCAGTGGTCTCCTCTACACAAATACACACGTCGCTACTCGTTTCATCCACTCCTAGTAGAAATAACCACAGAACAGGAACATAAAGGTTAACCTCATCTGATAAAAGATGCTGCTAAGATGCCAGTCAGGTGATTTATCTTTCTGCTTATGATGATCAGCACTCCAAAATGCAGGTCTTGCAAGGAATCTACATGAGCAGGAATCTGGACTAAGCAGCAATTATAGCTCTTGGGAGAGCTCATTCTAGACTAAAACGCTCTCCAAGCCCTCTTTCTTACTTTGCATAGCAGCAGAAGGTATTGCAGGATTTATTTCAAAGGTGCTGTGCTGCTGTGCCCAGAATTATGTTTGCTTTTTTTTTTTTCTAAAGTAAAAAGCAGATGGAGACCTAGAGACCCAAGCTGCTAAGACAAGATCTGTAAGCTTGACAACCACATGGGGTGAGCTACATACATCAAGAAAATAATCTTTTACCAAAGGCATCTGTGTTAACTTCCGTCCCATACAAAGGTATAACACTAGAGATTGTATTTGTTATATGGCCTCCAAGCTTGATGTCCCACTCTGTAAGTGCATCTTCACAAAGCAAGCTTTGGATTTCATAATGTTGAGAAATCCCAGGTCTCCCATCAGGATTCAGCTGTGAAAAATGGAAACTGGGAAAACATCTCCTTCCCTCTCTAAACTGCTGGTGTTTTCCATAGGTGTATCCTGTATCAGTATTACCATTCTGATTAAGATGAACGTATTGTAAATGCTAAGAACAGTCATCAAGTGCATTGTTTATCGCAAGCAGCTGCCGACAAATCACATTTTAAACAGATGCAAATATTCTATTGCTAAAGTAAACCAGAAGAGATGAGAACACAGGAAAAAAATCTGTTCATTCCAGTGACCCTAATTACTCCTACAGTTAAAAGCCAGAAAATGCTTTAAGAATTATATGATCACAAGCAAGTGAGGATTAACAGCAAAGACTGCAGACTGTGTTATTCTGTCTCACTCAAGTTCCTTCTTATCAGCCTACCTCTAATTGCTGATCCTTCAATGCTCTGTTTAGTTTCCATACATTGCAAGAAGACAGGTAAGGCTCATGAACCAAATTTCCAGGTACACGAACAACCAGTAATGGAGTATGTATGGAGACAAGAACTTGAAGATCCTCTGCCTGTCCTTGCTAGACTGCTTATTAATATTTACTTTTATAAGATTTCAAAGTTAACACATCAGCATTAAAGGAGTGTACAAGGCTGGACTGCAACTCAAGAATGGTATGTTTTAATAAAGATCAGAATACACTTCTCTCTGTTGATACCATTTCAGTAGAGACCATGTTATAGCCAGACAGATCAATAGCCAAGCCAGTACTTGTATTTTTACAAAAATTCTTTACAATTAAAATCAGATCATTTTTAAACATGAAACATAGTTCTAAGTCTCATTGTCCTGTACACTTTTTTGTTGCTGATGTAATTATTTTTATTAAGAGTGTGATTTTATACTAGTATAGTTAAGAGAATGTAATCTGTAAAGGCACATTTATTAGCATTGGGGAATAAGCTATGACGAGTATAAGCACATTTCTAATATGACAGTTATAGGAAATCCAGAGCCTTGGAGGAGCTGAGCTGTGCTCCAATGCAAGAGCAGTGGCCTTTTAGGTTGTCTGCACCAGAAAACTTTAATGTTGGGCTACAGAAGAACTAGCTTCGACCACACCCCTCCACCTCCAGGCAGATACACACACACAAGATAATTTCAGCAGCAGCTCACTGGATTTCTTCTACTGTCCTGAGAAAGCCAATAAAAATAAACTGCTTCTATAACGCAGTATCTTTATAAGCACTTTAATTTTAAAGTGTTTTTCATGGTATGCAGCTTGATATAAAGAGAAATCTTTGGGGCTGGACATATTTAGATACATGAAAGTGCAAGTAGACTTTTGATCACACTTAAGCTCCTGCCAGCTGGAAATACAGAACATCAAAATGTGAAGCAGTGTTAAAACTCCGTGAAACTCAATATATGAAATCTCAATGACTACATATTGCTCTTTTACTTACCTCATCTCATTGCAAATTTTATGTGAAGTTTTATGAAGATACTGCAGTAAGTGAAACTATTACAACTGAACCCGACATGACATGTCAGAATGGGGCTGGATGTCACACTCAAAATGCTATTAAGAAGACTGATCTGATTGATACTGAAATCACATAGCTGTAAGGAGCTGCCCAAACTAACTCTAAACTCTTCACTCTCCTTGTTGAAATGATACAGTCAGAGCAACAACGTGAACAACTAAAAGTGAATCAGCTGAAACTATAAATAGGTGCTGTCAAAAAGTCCCACAAGAAAAATTCTTAAATTAAAAGTTTACCTGATAACGTAAGTCCTAAAGGGTATAATGTGCTGCATGACAGCAGGGATGTGTAGCCATATTCTGATCTATAATGCAAAAACATAAATAGATAAAAATTTCATTAATGACATTTAATGACAACAATAAAAAATGAAATATTGCTGGTACATTGGCACATGCAACCCCACTTTAAAAAATGGCTTTGCTGTTGTTTTCCATTCAACTCTTTCAAATTCTCAGTTGTCTAATTTTCAAAGATGTTATCTGAGCAATGTTTCTATGACTTACAAACAGGAGTTTCACCTTTTCTTCTAGTCAATTGGAAAATATAAACTTTGTATAAATAGTATCATACTGCCCAGATGTCTCATTGCTGAATTTTCTGTAGTTTCTTCAGTAGGAAAAACTGCTACTCAGCCTTGTGGGGTTTCTTTTTTCTTTTTCTTTTTAAGTCTACAAGAAAATTATTCCATTCTTTCTGTTTCTTGCAAATCCCTCCTAAATCAAGTAAAATTATTTGACTTGTGTTTATGTTTTGCTTCTTAGGGCTTATATATCCTACAAAATAAAATTATGTTTTATAATCAGTGATTAAGCACAGGTTTTTTACTACCGTATTGCATTCCCATATATACCATTCTGCCTTTATCACCTTTGCAAAACTGTATGCGGGAAGAAAACTTATGCAGAGAACAAAACCCTGAAACAGCTATTTAACATCATTGTGGGGAAAAGAGGACCAACCAAACTACTTACACAGGCAAAGTTAGGAGTTCCATCTGCATTTCAAAAAGAAATGCTGAGCCTGTTAAACCTGTCACAGAAAGACAACTACGTGCCAGGTAAGGGATCTAGCATAGATGCAGCATTAGCAGCTGTTACTACTATTCACATAACAGTAATCATGCGCACACACAAATCTTGTGTCAGTCACTCAAAGCTGTCATGTCAATTTACATCTCCATGTTTGTTCTTAAAAGAACGTTTAAACAACTGGTGCAATAAATTCTGGCTAAGGACTAAATTCTCACCAGGATTTTGGAAAATTCTGTATGCAGAAAATCTAAATACTCCTTCTTGCCAGGAGAGAAAAATATTAGGCTGTAGTAAAACTATCACTGGCATTTATTTTCAACATTTCTGGAATTAGCCAAATAAATTCTTGTGTCAGTTCTGGAAAAAAATATTTTCAGACTTACTTTTACAATGCAACTAACACTACACAAGAAGCAATACTAACCCACTTCGCAAAACAAACCAGCCAAATCGTTACATTGCAAAAAAGACCACATTTGGAGTAAGCTTCTGATCCTATTGGCAGTCTCAAGACGAAAAAAATGCTAACATCCCAAAGATAGAAAGTGTAACTAGAAGACACTTGTTCTAGAGACAGGAATTAAATAACATTTTGACAACTAATTGCAAGGATGACAAAGATACTACCGTATTTACACAATTTTTAACACAACGATGTGCTTTTTCATGTGCAAGTATCAAACACAAAAGCAAATATATTTCTTTGTTAAATAAAAGTAGGAAATGTTTTTATAATTTTGTTTTTATAGCCTTCACTATTCATAGTAATTTTCACTGTATTAATTCAAACTTCTAAAGCCATTTCATTCATCTGTATACCTGCATTACATACACCCTTCATCCTCAGTATAAACAGATAATTTCACATTATAAATTAAAGTGTAATTTTTGTCACGAACACAAATATATACTAAATTATTTTTTTAAAATGACAAAATAATGTCTATAAAATGACATAAAAATAAGACCTATAAAATTACATTAACAATCCACAACTTTTACCATACTGTTTTTTGCTTCCACCTGCTTTTAAGACAAAGTATTTACTGTATCTGTTCTATTCCCAAGCTTCAGAGGTTTTTGGCTTTTTTATTATTTGCTCTTTATCATAGGTAATTCATTTCTAAAAGGCAATGTGCCTCTCAACAGTTTTTACTTCTGACTTCAGTTTTGAAGTTTCATACAGTAAAATTAAACCCACATTTTGGAAACCATCACTATTATTTCATTAATTCATGTCCACTGCGAGGGCAGTTATTCCTCCACAACATCCACAAAGCTGAAATGATACAGAATAAAGTAATGACAGGCTTTTTCAGTGAGGTTTAAACCATCCACAGAACAAGCTGTAGCTCATGGATTTCTCTGTGTCTGTTAGCTTTTTAAGAAGATCAGAACAACAACAGGTAGTTAAACTGAGCAAATACCACGGAATATGAAATGTGGGAAGAAAGCACGAACCAAGTAGCTAACTAAAAAAGACAGCAAAGAAATATCCTAAGAAGGAACAGTCAGTCCTACCACAATACAGGTTGCTAAGAAAGCATCTTGCAGAGCTGTGAGCTGGAGAAAAAACTAGAGTGACAACTAGCCAAGTCCCTGTGTGAAGTAAATTCCATTATAGTACATTTGCTGGCTTTATTATTACAAACATAAGCTTGTGTGACAAAGACATTTACTCAAACAAGATTTGCTAGATAGAAAAATTCAAGGAAACATGTTTTCAATAATTTTAATGTCCTCTTATAAAGGAGACACCAGCAATTACAAACAAGTAGCTCAGTTCCCCAGACTTTACCAATTTATGGTAATGGTCTTCTCTTACATGCACCTGCAGAATGCACTTAATGAGATATTCACCTTCCTTTGTGAAATAAACAGAGCAGATGCTTTCCACACCACTATGTAGCCTTGTCTACTAAAAGTTGAATGTTACTGGTTGTTAGCAAATCGTTTCTTTGACTTCAGTTTACTATTTCCAATTTCACCTATTCTACTTCCTGGAGTTTACTACTAAGCCTGACTTTTTAACGAGAAATTGATTGGTTCATCCACACTACAGTTTTTCTGAAAATATTTTTGAAACATTTAAGGTAGTAGCTAAACAACTCATTCTTCTCACAGACTCTAAAATAAATTCTAGCATGGATATTTCTAAGAGTCTTTACAATCATGGTTACTTTACTGCCGTTCTTAAGAGTTGGTACGACTGTGAAAACATATTTAAGAGCTACTACGCACTATGGGTCTGGTTTTACATGTTGTGGACCAGTTAGAAATTGATATTGCAAAGTTGTTCACTGAACTGTTACTGACAGTGTCATTTATAAATCTCACACTATCTATAAATCCCATAAACTCAAATGCATTGGGATAAAATCAAGTCAGATTACCAGAGTTCTTACAGAGATCACCAGTATTTTGTTCACAAAAACACCAGTTTTGTGAATGCTTCTTTTTGTTTTATTGGAGTTTGGTATATAATTTCACAGACATTCAGAAACATATTTATTTATATTTACCTAAGTTATATGAATTACATAATAAGATGATATAAAAAGAAACAGGTAAAGAGAAACATTACACCAAAATTAGAAGCTTATACACCATTATAGAGGTAGAGAAAAATGTTATTTTTAATATCAGCAAGGTAAAATGTGTTTTGTGAAAAAAATTAGCTGCCTCATTCAGAACTAATAAACATTTTGCATTTGAAATTCAGAAGCACTGCCAAGAAGTACACTGAGTGACACCTAAATGCGGGAAGTGGATGGATAAAGCAAATTACACATAAAACGTTTTCTTATACTTTCTGTAGTGAACTCACAGATTAAAAAAAAAAATTATCTTTAGATTTTAACAGTTTTTCTCTACCTCACACAGATTTGTCAGCAAAGCCAGACAGAGTTTGAAAGAAAGAATCTAGTTGAATGGTAAAAGGTACAATGCTAGAAGAGGTTGAAGAAACAGTAGTTCTACTGGTTATGATTGGAGTTGAATTTCTGTTTTATCTGGCAGGTTTAACCACAGCATTCATCTAAAATAGCTGCATCTAAAATAGCTGCAAGAGACAGGTAAATGTATCACCTACTAGAACAAAAGCTAAATGCAAAGTTGCCAAGTAATTATCTGAAAGGAGAAACTTTGTTAAGATGTATTTTGGTTACGGCACATTACTACGAATAAAGAAAATAAACAATTTATATAGAGAAAAATATAGACTTCCAAAAGGTCAAAGAAGAAAGGCAGATGTAGTTTACAAACGTGCGCTGGTATGGGATATCTAGCAAATGGGATCTGCAGTCAGAATGCTTGTTGAAAAAAATGCTGGTGTGATAGGGAGCTACCACTCCTCGTTATGAATAGTTTTGCGCATAAAAAAAAAAAAAAAAAAAAAGAAATCAGACATGTAACAAAGTTTGGTTCCAGGACCAAAATTTACTTCTAAACCAGAATAACACACCAGACCACACATTTTCAGCAGATGGTTTGATGCAGACTGCAGGCTGCACTGAGAACAGCTACAGATGAAGAAGTCATCAGATTATCACTTGAAAGCTCATCAGCTCATACAGAAAGGACCATAAAATAATATATCTCTGCAGTTTAACATACAGAGTACCCGCAACAGTCCTCCTGCACAAGCTTACAAGAATGGAGCATATCACAGTCTTACTCATTTATTCTTTGACCTACATGTTAAGAACCATTACAGTAAAACGATCAGGAGTGAGCGATATAGATCACCAACAGTAGCTTTATTTCAGTCACTGGTTCCCTCTATGCAAACATATTCCAGTATTTATTTAGAACATCATCCTGGCTGGTCAGTAACAGCAACAAAGAAGGAGCGAAGATGTGTGGAGGGAAGGATCTGCTTTTAAGTATTTAAAATTGCAATCTGTTCCAAAATTATGTTAAACTCACTCCATACAAGGCATAACAAACTATTGTTTTCCTTTTTGTCCATATGTAACATCCACAACACAGGTCACAACTTCACATTCTCACATTACACTAAGTCTTCTTATGTCCTGCTTGAGAGACGGACTTTTATTTCTATCACCTATCTCCTTCAAACCTCCACTAAAATAAATTCATAATTCTGCTAGTCAAAAATCATTATTATTTCAAAATGGAGAAATTATGATGGATATGTATTAAAAAACTAAGTAAAATAAAAGATAGTTACCTCTACGCTGCAAATATATATATAATGATATAAAACCACAGGAAACCGAGACAAAAAGAAACCCATAGACTTTTCCTTTGTGTCTCATAGGGAATATGTAAAAAGTTAAGATAGCCTGAAGAAGCCCAAAACATTTCCACAACAAAATTTCAGGGACAGAAATGACCTCTAACAACATTCTTGTAAGTATTTTCTGGGCCTGTTACAATCTTGATTTCTAGGTACAAACTTGCAAAACTACTTGTGTGTTTACAGGAGATGTATAGGGTCTGGATGGTGAAATGCTCAGTGAACCAGCAAACCTCACATTCCTAACAAGGAAAATCTTACAGTGCTTTTCTCCTTCCCTGGTCCTACAGAATTCTTCCCAGACTTCAATCCTTTTACCTTTGGCGTTCAACATTAAACAATTTAAAGGCAATACTTACATTAGATACCACTGTGATAAATGCATGTGCTATAAGAAATGGCAGTGTCTCAGGGGTTCCGTATTCAAAACAATCCTTCATGAGGGAAAGGCCATTTTTTCCACAAAACAGACAAACATAACGAAGCAAGTGCAATGGTACTTCTACATCCTAAAAATATTTAAAAAAAAAAAATTTAGAATTTGAACAGTCAATACTAGATCCATTCAGACACACAGGAAATTCAAAGCTGCATTAGTCTAACACAAATCCATACCAAGGAGCAAATGTGGCTACTTTACATTTCTAGGAAATGTGCACCTATTTAAATACGGACAACTTACATTCATATCACAGAACGCCCCTAATATATTGCTTTCTTGAGCAGAAATATCCTGTTTAAAAAGAAGAAAAAACATTCACTGAAGCAATAAAAACACATGTATAGAACAATAAACAAATGACCATTAATAGACATAATAATAAAAAAAAAAAAAAAAGACCCAAACCCTAATTTAGAGGAAGACAGAAGCTCAAGCTTTGGTCCACTTTCATATTGTGAAATATACTTTTCCATTTCACCATTTTACTTTTGTTAAGAGTTATTTATAAGTACACAAATATACACTTAAAATAACCTATCAGCAGTGGCTCTCAATAGCTGAATTAACAGATCATTCTTCAAGCCCACCCCCCTACAGATCACCAGTCTTTCTCAACAGGAACACTGCAAAAGGGATAGTCTGGTACACTGACTGCACACCAGCCTGAGAATTACAGAATGAACCAATCTAGGTGCTTTTGAATGCAATTTTTGCATAAAGATGAGACACACATCCAAACATCTGAATTTAGATGAAATACAAGTTGTTCTACAATCCTACATTTAGTGACTTAAGGGGCTACGCTTTTGAATTATTTATTCCCATCAGTATGTTAAAATTCTTTAACTTGAACTACTCTGTTCTTTTACACATAACAAAACACATCGTATAAAATAAGCGTCTAATACTCTTTATAGGATTAAGCTAACTAAAGAGGGGGAAGGAATTGTATCACCCTGTCAATCTGTTAGTTATTTGCTGCAACAAAAAATCTATTTTCTAGAAGTACTAAACCAAAAAGAGTTTGGGAAAATAGCTTTTCTTTTTAAAGTTCACAACATCCACTTTTTGGGCAGTATAAAGCAGGAATTTTCTTTATTAGGGTTGTTACACAACTTGTGTGGTTCTTACATATAGCTGGGGACAAAAGGGTGCTGAAGATATCATAAAACCTGACTGTAAAACCACAATATTGCCATGGATACTTGCAGGTAGTTACAGCATCTTCTTCTCCTTCCCATCCCTCCACGCCAAACACCCAGTTCTCATATTCACAAATCCAATATAAGTTTAATATAAAGTTAAGTTTTTAAATGAAATTTCCTGAATATATTTCAAGCAGCTGTGTAGGAGTAAGCTTCTTAAAACTGTACCAGAAGATGCTGGAAGCAAGAAATTTTGGATGGATTAAGTGTGATACAAATATTTTGAATTGTTCAATATGCTCATAGTATATCTAAGCATTTATTGTCTTTTTTCTTCTGCTGAACTCCAAGTCATGCCTGAACTCGTGATACTCTAAGTTGTTTTTAAAATAGCTTTGAAGCCAGTAGGTGGTATGTTTTCAAGTAGCAAGAAAAGGTGTTCAGCGTGCTGCTCGTGAAAACTGGAGAAATAGTGTGAGAAATTAATTTTCTTAAATAAAATAGAGACTTGTCGGGTGAACTACAGTTCTTAGAATACAGAAATCAAAACCTCACAGAGGTCTGTTGCACAAGTCCTGCAAGCTTACTAAATGTGTTGCAGTTGAGAGACTGAGTCTGGAAACGTGACTTCTGTTCTTCCAGATGTGAAACATAACAGAGACTGAGAATTCCTTAAGATCACATTTATAAGGAAATAAGATAATTCCTCATGGGAATATAATACGGTATTAAAAAACACCCTGACTTCACATAAAATATACTAGCTGAGGTCTGACATGGACACAATCTCGGTGAAGGGCACTTCATCAAGGATGTCATCCAAGAAAATATTTACTTGAAAAGGAAAAGCACAGATAGCAAGATTCCAAAGAATCAGGGATTACAGCTACAGACACCTAAACAATTGATTTTTTTCTTCTTTCATTTCACCCTCTATCAAAAAATGCTAAATGGTTGGGTAACACCCTTTAGATTCACTGTTCATTCCAAGACAGTTCAGGAGTGCACTTTACATCATTTCTTCTTTCTCTACAGAATTTTAAGCTTCCATCTTGTAGATTATTTTTTTCCTCTGACATGCCCATTCTAGGTATTACACTTACTTCATAGAGTAAGTATGAAAAGAAGAATAGGGCATAATGTCTTAAACTACCCTATATGCAAGATCTCTTAAAAGATGTCCCATACATAAAAAAAAAAAAAATTACCTAATTCCAAAACATGAACAATTCTAAAAAAAAAAAATACCCAACCAACTACATTTATAAAAATACTTTGAGTTAACGTAGTTTCGGATATAAAATAGATAAAAAAACCTCTCTCTGGGCACCAAAAATACTGGGAGATGTCAACAGAAGCAATTTTCCAGATGTTTTCTTTACAGATTGTTTTTTCAATATTTATTTCCTGAAGTGGGTCGACCTCTAACGGACTGCAATCAATTGTGTTGTTCTGGAGATCCAAGCTTAGTAGAAAGACATTTTTCATTAGGCTTTCTCATCAGTTTAACAAGGGTTGAGACAAACATTCTGCCTACACAGACTCATTCTACTCAGGTAAAGACTATACACTTGTCAATATGCTTGATTTACTTCCACATGATGTAGTTTCACTGTCCTCATATATAGCATATTTCTGCAACACTTCTGATCTCTCCAAGGCCACTTGTAGCCTCTGCTGTCAAGACTACACAGCCCTTCCGGCTACCAATCGGACTTTCAGGGTCTTCACCCTCTCACTTTAAAAATGTTGTAAGGGACAAAAATAATTCTTAGCCCATATCATTTAAGGAGAGAATCTATGGGATCATATACAGGCAGACACCCTTTTGACTACCAACAAATCTTGCTTTACTGTTCATTTTCACCCAACTTTGTGAACCCCTATACTAGGGAAAATCTCCTACTTTCACATGAACGTTTTTCTTCTCCACTAGATGGTCAAGTGTAAAATGGCTTTGGCAAGCACCTGGTAAGATGGTTAGACTTCAAGACTTGTCTTCTGTCTGCTGTCATTAAAAACAAAGATCTTGCAGGTGTATACAGAGCAAATGCTAACAGTAATATTGAATCCTAATCGTTACCAGAAGGTAATGATACCATGTGAAAGCCGTACAGCAGAAATTTGTAAGTGACAACTTAATTGGTCATTTCTAGGCAAAGTGAAACCTTACTGGACATGACAACTCAGCGAAGTTGTGTAAATTCATCTCAAGAATCTGGAACAAAGAATTTCTGAAGTCAGTGAGTAGACAGACTGGACTCTGTTTTGCATCAGAAAATGTCCTTTTTTCTAGGGCAAAATAAAAGCTTAGAGGGAGAGCTACACAAGCTTCTCCCAACAAATTCCTGGTAAATTTGGTCTGTTCAGGAATGTGTTTAGCTTACAAGTATAGATGATGCACTTAAAAGAGGGATTTTAATTTTATGATCCTTTGAGAACTGAGTCCAAGCCTGATTTAAAACAAAAAGTGCTCCCATTACTGGGACTAATAACTTGTCTCAATTCAACTAAGATGTGCTCTAGACTGAAATCCAAAATTAAATTCTAAACCTCAGTGAGTTACTCCTGTAGCAGAAAGTTTTGACATTAAAATAGCCAACATTACCACTTCAGACTAACAGAACCCTAGTGCTTCCTAAACATAGAAAATGTTGGTTTGTGAGAAGAATGATTGATGCTGGGACATTTTAAATGCAAACAAAAAAAATTTCTCCCAGAAAAGTACACAACAAATATGGCAGGCTAGCACACCTCCATAATTGGTATCTGGAAACACAAAAAGTCTAACAGAAAAGTAAAAGACTTTTCCTTCACTTGTCTGTACCTCAGGAAAGTCTTTTTCATTCTCAGCTTCCCTTTATGTTCTTAGGATAGCTAATGAATGTATTCACTAATTCAAATTGTCTATACTAGTACAATATATATGTCAGTTTGTCTAGAGTGATAACTGTATCTGTGTCCAAATCACTTTATGGCTGCGTATCAAGTGAAAAAGAAATCCCACCAGGCACTTTCAGATTTTCTTTTTATCACTTGGAAGTGAAATTGAAAAAGAAAAAAGTACATAAAATTGTCATTTAAAAGAAGCAAGTGTGCTTATACATAGAAAAGCTGTTCCAGAATTATTCACTGCATATTCCTATGAAGCTAGTTTCAGCAGGCATCCCACAGGGGTACAAAAGATAAATCATTTAAGTCTTTTTTTTTTTTTTAAACTGACAAGATAGATCTACCCTCTACAACTCTTACTTGCAGATGCTGAACTACAGGTTTATTTACGTACAGTGAAAGTTTAAAAGGCAGGCCAAAATGAACGATGGGAAACCTGAAATCCGCAAATCCTAACTTTGCCTCATTTTTCTACGCACATATATTCATGAAACAACCTGTTAACTTAAGCCCCTATGTTCTGGATAATCAAAATACAGCCCACCCAAAAAAATCTGCTATGTTGCGGGTTTTAACTAGATTTATTGTCAGATATGGCAGGATTAATTCAACAAAAACTGATTATATCTTGTGATCACCATAGCATACATAACCAAAAATTACATATGACTTGGCATCATTTTGGACTTAAGTTTGAAAAGCAAACTTAACTGCTCAGAGCTCCAACAGACCTCCCAAAACTCTCTAAATAAAAAAAATTTAAAAAGACTGGGTTAACTGTAGTTTAATTCTCCCCTTTGACTTTCTCAAAAGTTTATTGGATAGAAGCTTTCTTCATATAGCTAAATATACATCATCTTTTCATACCAATCCTGTAAAAGAACTGTTTATTTGTTATTACACTACCACAAGTTGGATCAAATCCCAACCTTCCCAAGAACTATATTGTTTCAACTGGGAAATGGTTAACACAATCATATTTATTTCAGAAACTGTGAATTAAACACTGTGGGTTTTTTGAAAATTTGTTCGGTTTTTTTCAGAAGAAAATATGAAAAATGTGAATGGTAGCCACAACAAGTATTACACAGAAAAATCAGGACGGTAGAACAAAGCTACCTGTGTAGAGCTCACTTATTCCAGTTAATTAAACAGCTGTTCTAACAAGTAAGTTTGGTTTTGCACAAAGTTTAGTTTATGAAGCTTTGCTTCTAGAACCACAGATTGTAATGAAAACAATTAGTAAACTATTAATGGGTTACCTTCTAGAAGAAAGGCTTCGCTATAGTCCCCTTTTTGCCTTCCTGTTATTTAAACAATACAATAATTCAGTGTACAGATCCATCCAACACTTATCAATATATTACCTGTAACAATTAAGCATATTTTAAATAAAGTCTAAGAGTATGTGTCATTTAAAAAGTTTCTCTGAAAAGTTCCTCTGAAGTCCACATGAGATGAATTTGCCCATCCTATGTGAAAGCAACGATCACCACACAAGCACAGCCTACTCTTTAAGGAAAACAAATAACCTTTCACAAAATAATTAAATATACACATAAAGATAAGATATACCTCTATTGTGGGATGAGTATTATGTTTATAAGCAGTGTACAGAGGAAACTGAATCTGAAAGATTTTTGCCACACACAGCAACAACTTTTCCTTCTCATCAGTGCTCCATAAGCTAAAAGCATCAGTGTTCTTTGCAGATTCCTCCTCGGTCAGGATAGAAGTTCTTGCAGAATCTAATTTTTTCTGTATAGATTTTTGCCGTTCTCCATTTTCTTCTTCACGAGACTCTTTTTCTACATTCAGGGGCTCATCAGCATGATTACTCTGATCTTGCCATGTTGAATCTATATTAATAGTGCAATGTTTACAGAGCTGGTCCCGCAGAACTTGAACTTGGGCAATGACTAAGTTAATAAGCGCACATACTACTTGGTTAAAGATCTCCAAATGTTTATACTCCTTGAAACAGCACAGACACTGTCTGTAAGAAAACAGAAAAAAATAAAAATAAAAACTCCTGAAGTAGCTAAAATCAGAAGAGGTAACAGACCAAAAGGATTCTTCACATTAAAAGATTTTAAACAAAATATTTAACAGACCCGTGAAAACAACGAAATCCAAACGAAACAGACTCCACCCAGCAAGTGGGAGTCACTAAGCCTTCCTTCAACCCTGCGAATATCTCCATTACTTCCAAATGCTCACGAAAACTGTGAAGTCCCTGTTATCATTTACCAGCTGCCACTGTGAGAAAAACTTACAAAAGAAATCTTACGGGCAAGGTCACTGTACTAAAGAAGCAGTGTTCTTCAATATGTTCTTGAATCCGTTTCCTGATCTAGTTTTCTCTATTCATATTCACTGCAATAAACCACCTGACACGCTCATCAGCTTTAATTATTGTTACTTTTAAAATCAACAGGGCTGCAAAATAATTGTATTTTTAATGGAGTATTTAAGCTCACTTCCTTTATCTGCATTTGGACAGAAACCCAATGCACAGTGGTACCCTTTACCCGCATGGGAAAAAGCAGAATCAAGTATCTTCATTACTTTCTTCACTATGCAGGCTCAGAGATTATTCCTCTGAATATCTCCTGATACATTGTAAACTGAAAAGAACAAGCGTGGAAACTATACACCATCCCTTTATCAATATAGTAAGAAAAATTAATGAAATCATCAAGTCAGAAAACTCTATAATGTAGCTCTAGTTGTGCCCAAGGATAACCATATATGTAAAACAGATTCGGGGTGCATGAATACCCCAAGAAGATACCCTAGAACCTATTGTCAGGGAACATCTGCTTCTTCCATACAAACAAGCAACCCCCTTTTTCTGAACAAAAGGTGGACAATATTCCCCTGAAAGGATCTAACTCCTGGACAAATGCAGAGAAGCAAGCAAGAAATAAGCAAGGCGGCTTCAGTGAAGACTACATGCTTGTAACAGAAACTTTGAGATGGACTCACCTCTTTCTCACTCTACTGAACAATGTAACTGCTATATAAACTGGTAGCTGACTTGCAGTAGAGACCTTTCCCCTGTTAACATGGAGAACAGACTCCAGTCCATGACTAGAGTTCTTGTATACTAAAATAATATAAAAATCACACATACTATTTCTAAAATAAATTAGCAGGCAAAACATAGGGCAAGAAGTCAATCAGAAGTGATTAAAAAATTCTTCTGCAAAATATAGCATTTAATCCAGAAACTGGACTTAAATTATAATTTGTAAGAAAAAAAAAGACAGATAACTCGGAACTATGACAGGTAGAGGGTGCTCCCTCTCTTGAGGGAATACAAACACGCCCTTGAACTACAGCTCTTAAAGCATATACACCTGAATACAGTTATCTTTTTTCAGTGGGTTAGACAGAAAGATAACCTTCAGCATTCCCTAATTCCAGCACAGATAGTGATGGAAGCATCTAAAACTTTTTGTTCCATCTATGCAGGAAGAAAAATCCTTTTAATACTATGTAAGTGGAGTGTGCGTTTACCCATTTGAAAAATAGGCTGTTGTCATTTACTTGTAAATGTATTTTCATATTAACAAATGACAACAACAAATTGCAGGCAAAAAACAAGTGTATCCTTGAGCACTTATCCTTGGGCAAAACTATGTACAATAGGTCCATGCCTACAAATTACTACCTCACTTGGCTGTAACAAATTATTCTCAATAATAATGAAAGCAAAGTCTGGTGAATACTTCTCACATATCGGTATCTGAATGCCAACTGATACTGGAGAATTCTCTATTGGGCAGAGGCATGGTGGTTGTGTTTTTTCAAGATAGAAATACATGCAAAACCTCTAAGTCTTCATGTATATGAATGTGTTCACAGGAAGAAGAGCTCCACCAAAAATTAAAGATCTACGAAAAATAAGTATGTTACCAATATGACTTCTTTAATTTCCAAAAAGGAACTGAAATGGAAACACTGCATCAAATGGAAGAAAAACGTATTATTCAGGCTGAGTCACCAACCAATCTTCTGAAGGAAAGAAGATTTAAACTACAGGTAACAAAAATAAAAAGCAGTTTTTAAGGAAGGCCTCAAGCACAAAACAACAAGCAGAACTCTCAAAAGCCCAACTGACAGAGTAGAAATGGGACATGAAATTACAATGTAAAGTAAAACTCCTTCCTGTGGCCTCTTTGCTAGACTCTTCTTTTAATAAGTTAAGGACTGTTTTCCACACTTTTACAGTATGAAACCATACATATGGAAGGCACCAGAAGAAAATAAAGACTTAAATGCTATCCAGTCTTCATCTTTTCTTCAGGTTGGATTTGTCATGCTATGGCTGTTGAACAGAATAAAACTCTAAACAGATGATGACCTGGGAAAACGACTAGGCTGTACTCAGACATACTTAGGATCTACGACCTGTCAAGAAATGACAGGATTCTGGTTTCTGTTGCTGCTGTTTATTTTGATTTGAAATTCCTTCTCTGTGTCTAATAACATATTGAAGAAGATAATGAATTTGCTTTGAGTGCCTTCTTTGGGCAGAATGAGAAAGAAGAGGATTCTGCTTTTGCAGCTGACATTCGTTTTTTTTTCTTTTGGAGTCTTCTAAATATCAGAATAATGTTTTCCAATTTATTCTCTATGCTTTTCGCAATATTTCTTGCGACTCAGTTTGTTCTTGTGACCACTGCTGAACACTGAATTCCAAACATCCTTACAGCAGATTCTTTCTAAAAACTAATATCCATACGACTCCTTGTACTGGATAAAAATAAGTAGCCATGAGGTAAGTAGAACAGCTGATATAACTACTTAAAAAAAATAAACACCACCAACAGTAATTTAAATAACAGATTAAAAGGAATAATGTAGTTGATTTAAGACAACCACGTGCAAAGGATGTTCTTTATCAGTTTAGTAGCTATGGTCTTCAATTGTTGATCATCTTGACTCAGTATTAGGACAGTGACAAAAATTTAACTTGATGATCCCAGAGATATTTTTTTTCTTAAATTCTTCTTACCCTACCCTGCCTCCACAGAAGAAGGTCAGAAAATTTCATGTTAAAGCAGCAACACATACTATTTGTCCTTGCAATATAGCTATTTACTGCTACACGATTGTTACAGCATCCAACATGCAATCAGATTCAAAATATGCTTTGCCCAAAATGCACTGGATAACTTGTTTATTTTTGTAAAGTAAAGTAGTAAAATGTCCTTTACTCTCAAAGTATCAATTAGTGACACATTAATAATTTGCCCATTCTAATTCACTCCGCTGTATTTTTTAAAAAGTGAAACCCACTGTTGAGATCCAGTATCATCAACACTCAAACTCAATCCAAAATTACCTTTGTGTCCAGGAATTGATGTAAGCAAATATCTTGAGGGCATGTTCCTTTTTGAGCTGCAACCCATCAGCACCTTCAAGGTCTGATACTAAAGAAAACAAAACCAAGCATATTAGTAGCAAAAAAATCCAACCTGTGCACTTGTTCTATTTTTACTAGAAATTATCTTTGATAGCACGAAAAATAAAAAAAAAAAATATACTTTGCAAATACATTTTCATATTGGAAACTGAAGTCCTCAACCAAATCTACGTATTTTTTGCTTCAGTAAACAGAGGTAAGTTTTAGACGCAGCTAACCTGAAAACAGAAACTGCACAGTATTTTTGAATACTGCTGTGAAAATTAGTGAGTAAGAACAGCCCCTTCTTCTAATCCTCCTCTTACGAAATACTCTTCATAAGCTTCACCGGGAACTACTCACTGATATGCACTTTCAAATACGAACCTTCCTCAACAATTTTACTCAACCAGGCCCGTGTCCTGTCCCCCCCCCACACCAATTTTAAAAGTCTGCATTTTGAGATGACCATGAGACCTTACCTTCCTTTTCCTGATCAGATAAAGACTAGGAAAGAAAAACCCCACAAAACTACCAATAAAAGAACAACGTGCAGTGTATGTATAAAGTTATTTCAGACTACCTAAGTAGACGATTATTATTTTCAAATATACAGACATGTCTATACTGACATTTAACCATAATGAATCACTAACTGGCAAAATGATAAATACTTACCACATTTATTACGGCCAGAAAGCAGAACAGTTATGTACTGAATTCAAAACTTAGACATTTCAATGAGGTATTATAAATGTCCCATTTGCATCTCAAAAATGCTTCTACACTCTAATTTAAAGCCAAACATCAGTAGTAGTCCACATAGTGCAGGCAAAAGGAAGCCTACAGAGTGTGGAAGCAAGTACAGGTAGCCTGGGAGGAATATAGAGAAATTGTCCAAGCAGCCAGGGATCAGGTTAGGCTAAAGCCATGACAGAATTAAATCTGGCCAGCAATGTCAAGGGCAATAAGAAAAGCTTGTATAGGTACTTTTATCAGTGACAAAAGGAAGGCTAGGAAAAATGTGGGCCCTCTCTGGAGGGAAATGGGAGACCTGCTTATCCAAGATATGAAGATGACTCAGGTACTCAACTTTTTTGCCTCAGTCTTAAACTGGCAAGTGCTCCAGCCACACGGCCCAAGTTGCAGACAGCAAAGGCGGGGACTGGGAGAATGAAGAACCACCCACTGTAGGAAAAGATCAGGTTCAAGACCATCTAAGGAACCTGCAGCTGCAGAAGTCCATGTGACCTGGTAAGATGCATCTGTGGGTCATGAGGGAAATGCCAGATGAAGTTGCTAAGTCACTATCCATCACATTTCTTGTTGCTCTCTACAACTACCTGAAAGGAGATTGTAGTGAGGCAGGTGTTGGTCTCTTCTCCCAACTAACTAGCAATAGGATGAGAGACAACGGGCTCAAGCTGTGCCAGGGGAGGTTTAATTTGATATTAGGAAAAATTTATTTACTGAAAGAGTGGTCAGACATTGGAATAGGCTGCCCAGGGAGCTGGCTGAGTCCCATCCCTGGAGGTGTTTAAAAAAACATGTAGATGTGGTACTTTGGGATATGGATTAGTAGGAATGGTGGTGTTGGGTGGATGGTTGGACTCGATCTTAGAGGTCTTTTCCAACCTATGATTCTATGAATTTGCTAAGCCACTAGCCATTATATTTGAGAAGTTGTGGGAGTCCAGTGAAGTTCCTACTGACTGGAAAAGGGGAAATAATCCCCATTTTTAAAAAGGGAAAAAAGGAAGACCAGGGAACTACAGGCCAATCAGTCTCACCTCTGTGCCCAGCAAGATCATGGAGTAGATCCTCCTGGAAACTATGCTAAGGCTCACAGAAAATAAGGAGGTGACTGGTGACAACCAACATGGCTTCACCAAGGCCAAATCATGCCTGACAAATTTGGTGGCCTCCTATGACAGTCACAGCGCTGTTTGATAATGGAAGAGCAACTGACATCATCTACCTGGACTTGAGCCAAGCATTTGACACTGTCCCATACGACATACTTGTCTCTAAATTAGAAATACACGGATTTTACAGATGGACCTTTTGGTGGATAAGGAATTAGCTGGATGGTGGCATTCAAAGAGTTGCGGTCAATGGCTCGATATCCAAGTGGAGACCAGTGACGAATGGCATTCCTCAGCAGTCAGTACCGGGACCAGCACTATTTAACATCTTTGTCAGTGACGTGGACAGTGGGATTGAGTGCACCCTCAGCAAGTTTGCCGATAACACCAAGCTGTGTGGTGCAGTTGACACACTGGAAGGAAGGGATGCCATCCAGAGGGATCGTGACAGGCTTGAGAGGTGGGCCTGTGTCAACCTCATGAAGTTCAACAAGACCAAGTGCAAGGTCCTGCACATGGGTCAGGGCAACGCCAAACACAAATACAGGCTGGACAGAGAAAAGATTGAGAGCAGCCCTGAGAAGGACTTTGGGGTGCTGGTTGATGAGAAGCTGAACAAAACCCAGCAATGCATGCTCATAGCCCAGAAGGACAACCATATCCTGGGCCACATCAAAAGCAGCATGGCCAGCAGGTTGAGAGAGTGAACTCTGCCCCTCTACTCCGCTCTCATGAGACTCCACCTGGAGTCCTGCATCCAGTTCTGGAGCCCTCAGCACAGGAAAGACATGGACATGTTGGAGTAGGTCCCAAGGAGTGCCACAAAAATGATCAGAGGAACACCTCCCCTATGAGGAAAGGCTGAGAGTGTTGGAGCTGTCCACCCTGGAGAAGAGAAGGCTGCGGGGAGACCTTATCACAGTCTTCCAGTACCTGAAGGGGCCTACAAGAAAGTTGGAGAGGGACTTTTTACAAGGGCACATGGGCTAATGGCTTTAAACTGAAAGAGGGCAGATTTAGATTAGGTACAAGAAAGAAATTCTTTACTATGAGAGCAGTGAGGCACTGGACAGCGTTGCCCAGAGAAGTTGTGGCTGCCCCCTCCCTGGCAGCGTTCAGGGCCAGGTTGGACTGGGCTTTGAGCAAGCCAGTCTAGTGGAAGGCATACCTGCCCATGGCAGGGGGGCTGGAACTAGATAATCTTCAAGGTCCCTTCCAACCCAAACCACTCCATGATTCTATGATCTCCACTTACGCATCAATCAATTATATATTAGGGCACTGGATTCTTGCTATTGGCTGCATACTTTTCCCCAGCTATCAACGTGTAATTCTCACTTCTTCCTTGTCCTAAAATTTCCATACCCAATTATCTAATTGCTACACAAATTCAGAATGTCAGCATTCCTTTTAAGTTGATAATTTAATTTATAACAAAAATAAGTATTCATCTCCATATTACACATGAAATTTCAAATATTACATGCTCACAAATCTACTTCACAAGCAAGCTTTGTGGGAAAGGTTCTCTAACAGAAGCAAGCTCTTCATAATCCCTACCTCAATCTCTTTTCCAACCTCAGCGTTGCGAGGTCCTATGTGATCTATCAATACAAGTTTCCAAAAACTAAAGGTAAAGAAAGTCTGCTGGCACAGATCAGAAAGTAAAGTTCAGAAGAACACCACTTCAGAGAATAATCACACAAAACATACTTCTGATTTCTTTGAAATATGGACATTATATATGCACATACATACTTTCATATACATGCACACACAAATATTAAATTACACAAAAAGCAGTCTCTCAGTAGGATACCATTAAACCTTAAATATCACTTTTCTGTCTCACTCCTAGAAGGCTTTAAAGATCCCTACATAACACTGGAAAAAGTAAAAAATTGACAAGCAGACTAAAAGACTGGTATCACTTCATGCTACCTTTTATTTTAAACACCACCAATTACCATGACACTTTGACTCTCTTAAGGCAAAGCACAGCACCGAAGAAACCAACAACTCTGTCAAGCAATTTAGGCCAAGCTTACCACAAAAGACAGATCCCTAACTATAGGCAGTATCTAAAAAGAGACTTGCCCAGCATGAAAGGTTCACAAAAACTTCACTTTACTAATTCTGTGAGCATTGTTTTGTTAAGATGAATTCCTTCAAACTTGACACAAAAAACTGCTGACAATAATTTAGTAACAACAAACCTAATTCTAACTTGCAGCTTACACATACATTTATAAAATTTTCTTCATCCCCACATCACCATACACGAAAAACACACACTAACAAGTAGGACAGTAACTCCTAACTTCCACAGCAGCATTTTCACTGCAATAGTTTGAAACACTCCCAGATTTCCCTCTATGAGACAAGAAAAATTGAAGAACTACAATAAAAGTTAACTGGTCCCTTAAAAGGTACAATTGCCATGTAAAGTGTACAGAATGTAGAAGTTACGGAAATACTGAATCTTATGCCCAACTTCAGAAAAATAAGAATGTATATGCACTAGTTGGAGAAACCTGTCATTTACCTGTGTATGCATTCCACATCTCTCACGTAGATGAACTTCAACTGGTCTTATTTATTAATCATTGCTAATTAATATAGTGGCTACATACACAATTTCCCTTTTGTTTTCTGTACCTAGAAGTAATATTGTTCTTATTCCTGAAAAAACTCAGGAAGCTCAAAGCAGGAGCAACTACACTGAGGCTGTACTTTCCCACAGAGCTGCTCTAAGTCTGTCACACTACCAAAAGGGGTAGTGACACATCTGGCAGGGCTTCTCCTACTGGACCTTAGTTGAAGCTCTCTTTCACTCCTTAGCAGAAATGATCGCTCAACTAATCTATGTCCTTACAACCAAAATTTAAATCTTAGACTATCGAGTTCCTGTCTTACTATGCATATCAACTTTGTGGATACTCTTGATTTACAGCACCTCTCTTCAGGGACACATGCAACTTTAAGTACAGCAATATTGGTTATGAAGCCCTTCTAGTATTTTTTAATTTAAAAAAGTACAGACAGAAAAGCAATAGGAACAACTACACTCTTCATTCCTGCACACTTGTTGATTTCAGTCAGTTCTGTATGGACTCCCTTGCTGCATATGCTTTTCAGTTCCAATTGACGATGTCTGTCTCCT